CTCTATTTTCCTCATTTTACAACATTTCGCAACGAAACTTTGGAATATTACTAATTTTGTGATGCTCTTTCACTTGCCTAGATCAAAATTTTGGTTATAAGGGGAAAGGTCTAGAGTGCTTGCGGCGCGCGACAAATGACAGAGGAATGGGTAAATCTTGGTAAGAAATTATGGCACAGCAGCAGGGCATCAACATTTTTACCAATAGTTAGATAGCAGGGCAATACATTTTTTTCATTTGATAGAACGAAGGGCAGGAAGTTTTTTTCCCTCAAATTTTGCTTTTCCACCGGCCCTGCCTTTTAGTAAATATTGCACGGTCCCTAAGATTGCCTTTATATACATTTCGGTTAGATTAGAGTTAGGGTCACGTTTGTTTTTTAAGTGTATTATATTCAATTAAAATAATATCTTTGGTTAATAATTTGCGCGCGAATTCGAATTGTATAAACAAGATTATTTTACATTAGTCGTTAACTGGTGTAGCCAATGAAATAATTCTACATGCTTTCTTCTAGAAAGTCACTAATAGTTATGCAATGCATACACTAGATCATGTGACCATTACATGACAATTGACACCAAAGTGCGTATGGAATATTTATAGTCTTTTCATTGTTTTTAAAATCCCACTGTTCTCCATGTCATAATCCAGTGATCAGAAATATGTTCCATAGTCTTCTACAGACACTACAGACTTAATACAGACATCCTGTGTACGAGTGTATCTTCGATATTTGAAGCCATATTTCGTTATGTTTCCTTGCAAGTTAAGGCCATAAGCATTTTAAACAAAATCTCAAGTGCTTTTCATAAAGTTTTTCAGCGTAAAATAACTTTGAAATTTGAATTTCATTTTTCGAAATTCTATTAAAATGCGCCCGCAAAATATTTAAAGGGCTGATGTAACGTCGTGTAATATTAATGAAAGTCTTCAAATATGAAGGCGTAGTCCATTTATAACACCAAGGCAGGTGGTGTCGAGGTAAGAGACAACATAAAATATTTAAATATATACATATTAATTGTTATGTGATAATTAGTAACTATGACAGTTTCTAAGTAAAGGGATATATACATTGTAGTTACATTAATTCTACAAAATGCTATTCTCCAACCCAACAGCGTACAAATAGTGTCACTTCAATTTCGTCAAAATTTTTACACCGCCATTTCCATCTTAATCTTCGGATGAGGTTTGTAACCAATAAGCTTAAAGTCATCGTAAGTGAAATATTCTATATTTGTGATTTTTCTCTTGATTTCCAGCTTTGGAAACGGCTTCGGTTTTCGTTGTAACTACAGCAGGAGAATGCAAAAAAACACTGTAAATGGTTGACCGGCTAGCCACAAAAAACTTGCAGTCGTTGAGCACACATCCTGGTCACAGAGACGAGCAGTTACCTGTTGTTCAAGAGCGTCCAAATGGTTTGAGTAAACATGAGCATCACCCAGAGTGTGTACAAAATCACCAGGCTAAAAGATAACAGTCATAAGTGAACCTTGAACTTCGGAGTAGAATATTGTCTTTATAAACTTACCGTCAAGTCACAGACATGAGCTATCATGTACGTCAGCAGAGCATAGCTTGCAATGTTGAATGGCACACCTAGACCCTAAGCGAGAAATATACAACCACATCAGTTAACCCAATTCAAATACCTAGTTATCATTGTTCTGATAACAAGGATGAACAAAGTTAATCAAGCATTTGACCTATATATGTGTGTGAATTCCATGGCAATGAGTGTATTAATGTGATTGTATTAATTAGATACCCACCATATCACCAGATCTTTGGTACAACTGGGCAGACAGCTCGCCATCGCAGACGTAAAATTGAACCAACGAATGACAGGGAGGCAACGCCATCTTTGGCAGATCTAGATATAATACCAAGGGTAATAGTCCAGTGTTACTAGTACAGCAAGAAACTGGAAAAAACCTAGCTGGAATGTTTCGTGACTGAGGCAAGATTACAATCAGTCAACTGCATATTGCAGCCTGAATAAAAAACAGTCATAGATGTGTGAGGTACTGACACTGCCATGAACAAACTAATCTCTTTCTTACCAACAGGGTTCCATGCAGACATTATAATTCGTCTGCAACATGGGTTGGTTTTTATTGTGTGAATAACATTCTTCAGCTGATCAACACCCCGCCCGGTATAGTCCGTATGCATGGTCTCGTATTCCGCACCAAAATGCCGCCATTGGAAACCATAGACAGGACCCAGATCCCCCACCTCACGTTGAGGCAGACCTTCAAAATAGCCAAAAATAAATTGCAATATGAATATGAACATGCCTAAGTTCAACCAGTGGATCATCAGTCTCTGGTATGAATTAGACAAATCAAACATGTCTGAACAATGAACATAACGTTCAGAACATAAAATCTTTAATCAACTCATTTCACCTCTATTATCCAAGAATTCTCTGGAACCGTTGGCATCCCAAATGTGGACATTTTTCTCAGCAAGTTCATTTCCATTTGTGCTTCCACGTACAAACCACAATAATTCCTCAGCCATGCCTCGCCAGAACACCCTCTTTGTCGTCAGCAAAGGAAACATTCCATCTCTCAAACTAAAACGCATCTGAGCTCCGAACATTGAAATCGTACCAGTTCCTGAGATAATAGAGAGAGCTTTAAATTTGACTATGAACTGATAGAGCCATCCAGTATAAATAAAGTTAGTTTAGGTTTCCTCCTGTAGTAACATTGGATCAATAAGAGATGATCACTCACTGGACCTCTAAGAAGAACAGTTTAGAACTGATAGAGCTATCTGGTACTTCATGTAGTAGACTATGGTACCTGTCCTGTCCTCTCTTGTTTTACCATGCTTCATTATCTTTCGAATGAGATCAAGATATTGGTACTCGTCGTGATCCGTGCGGTCCTGTGTGATTGCCTTGACAACATCATTTGTTTGAGAATTGCAGTTCGCTTCAGCACTTAACATTTTTCCTAAAACAGTTCATGTATACTTTTCATACTTACACAGGTTGGATCACTTTTGTGGCCCATATAGTACGCCTATGGTAGTTGGTATGCACCGAATTTGATGGGTCCGCACTGTCAATTTATACTATGGATGGATCACCCATCAACACGCATGAACTGCCTGATAAACACAAGATAAACTATCTAGATAAACCAACTAGAATAGCGTGATCTATACTTGCAATCTGGGAACAAATCATGTCTGATATTTTCCTGGTAGCCTGTCTGTCTAATGATGCATTTATACAATACATATGGGCATTTGACTTCCCCTAAAGCTCGATATTTTTTGCTCTAATATAAGTGGTAGTTTGCAGATTTTGCCTCGGTATTTCAAGGCTTTATATACTTTGTACTACAATTTCCAAAAATGTGCCATGAATCGTTTAGTTCTAGAACTATTAAATACGTATTTTAAAAATAATTTACACACTTACCAAATTGATTGATGAAAATACTATTATTAGTATTATTCTTCCAAAATACGAAAAATCAAGAGAAATATTTTGCACACAACCATGCAATATTTACAAAGAACAGATTTGGCGCTCAAATTTCCCGCTCAAATTATTATAATTTCTCCTTGTGTTTCCACAACCTAAAATCTACATTTCTTCTTTTGCTAGAGAAATTTGTTTAAATTTCCTGTCTATTGCATAATTTCTTTATATTCCAGCTCACTACAGCCCAGAAGTACCAGCCTAGACCTAGGGCTAGGGCACAGAATAAAAACCGACTCAAAATGTACTTTTCATCAAAATGCACTCGCCATGTTCCTAGCCAGTGCGTTTACGAGAGGCATTCACCCCCCTGAACGTCAGCTATTTTGAATATTTTCAGGGGGCGAATGCCTCCTATAAGCACACTTACTCCAAAATCATAGGCAAAATCAAGATATCGGCTTTCTATAAGGTCTCGATATATTATCCAAAATTTTACCAATGATTTTAAGTGAGGTTGACACTTATATTCTATTTGTTCAACTTATCCCATAATGAGCTCGCGGCAATTTGAATATGGCTGAAGATTCCTTCTTCCTTTTGCGAATCTTCTGCTCGCGAGCTCAAATCTGAGTTCGCTAGTATCTGAAAGAAAACATGATTGTGTCAGCGTATACAATGGTAATTCCAGCTATAAGACTAAATTTTGATCAAGGCAAAAAGAACGAAATCCAACACCACAGCTAGAAAGAGCGTCTTAGAATGAGTAAAACTGCAAAAATTGGTTGCTAAATGTTGTAAAATGAAGAAAATATAGACTTTGAAGTTCGCAAATTTTGTTTATATTTCTATTACGCGCGGTAAAAATAACCACTTTCGGCTCAAAAATGATTCTTTTCAGCTATGGTAATGTATTTCGTTCTTCTAGTCTAGATAAAAATTTCGTCCATTGTGCCCCTTGTTCTGTTAAGCTAAGTTACTGAATGATTATCTGTAGAAAAGCTTGCTCTATGTAGTATGTACTAAATTGCCCAATACTGTCGCATGCAACCTTCTTACAACTTGAGTTGTACTGTGTACATCAAGCACACAACTTGCCTACAACAATATAGGCAGACAACTATATCTGCTACCCTTCCCTAACAAATTTTTAGAAGACTTACTTCGTTAATATTTCCTCTGCCAATGTCCTCTCTCATGGCAAGTAAAGCCATGGCGTGGTCACTCGTGAAATCCTTGTACTTTGTTGCCAATCCCTAGGCAGAGGAGAACCACGCATTTAACAAACAACTTTTTCTTTGACAAGTAAAATCAAATGGCGTTAGACAGAGTATGATAACAAAGTAGCGCGCGTTCAAAGGCAACAGGTCATGTGGTACTTACAGATATTTCCAAAGAAAGAAGCTCGGCGCTTTTTAATTTGATTATTTCTGACAACATGGGGATCACTGCGCACTTTTCTGTCACCTTGTCAGGATCAACACCAAGCTTTTTAAAAGTCTCAGTAATTTTCCCCGTTTCTTTATTGATCTGTTCTGCTGCATTTTTGCGTTCGCCATAACCCTTGAACTTCATGCGCCTAAAGAAGTGAATGTACTTCGTTACTGTACTTGACTACTATTTTTAAGAAGTCAGCATGTAACAAAGTAAACTTTTTCTGGAGTATTTTTACTTGGAACGAAGTCGTTTTAAGAAGTAACGTTTTACTTCGTTATTCTCATTTTGTGGCGAAGTATTTCGTTACTTTCTGACTTTCGTTTAATTTACGTGATTTATTGCGGATTTATTTTAACTTTGTGATAGGTAATAGGACCTCTACATGCGTCTGGGATATCTCGCTTGTGGCTTACTTATAAGCATTCGTTTTATAGTAAATCACTTCTGCTTTACGTATAATTTAGGCAACACTCGGTTTTAGATGATATGATACTATATGGTATGGCAGTTCAGTAAATTTTGTAAATACCTTTCAGTCATAGCTCTGATGTATTCAACTATGACGCGATCCAAACAGGAAGATAAAATAATCCCATGATGCCTGAAATCAAGATAATACTTCACCCTGGAGTATAGTTTAGTCGGGGGAAAGTTAAAATTTAAACCTCAAGACTTACTCGGGCATAACGTGTGTAAAATCATTGTTGTAGTCTTCGACTGTTGCGAGAATTGTTTCAACATGAACTGAACCCTTGTACCTGGCAGAAAAAGTTTGCATACATTTGGTTATTGTACATACTTTGCAAGATATATGAGCTGTCATCTGTTTCCTTACCAGTCGTTGCGGGTTAAAATTCTCTTAAAATGATCCTCAGTATCCAGGAATACTTCATCCAGTAAGATATTACAACTGAAATACAAATTAATGAGTGCAAAATGGTTAGTGTGTGTGGCTCTGTAAAAGAATTGATTCCTACAAAATGCGGTTGTCTGATTATAAATTTCATCTCAGCTGCATGCGAGAAGGGTGCTTCAAATTTGACTCCACCAATCAAGATACTGTAGATTTTGTCTTGGTGAGATGAGCCTATAACTGGACCGTTGACAAGGCAAGAACTGATAGAGGAATACAGTCTCACCATTCCTCCGCCATTTGGTGGAAATAATCATAAAGACTTTTAAATATTTGCTGTTGATCTTCTCCAAACTTTCCCGCTTGTAGTTCGTTCATCATTCGATCCTACAAATCAGACATACAGTCAAAAAATAAATTGAGGTGTTGTTGGCGAAGTGGTTGGTGAATGCTCCTTTCATCTGTTTATAATTTCACCATCTGAATATTGCCTTGGTAACACTGGATCAATAAGTGATGATCCTTACTGGCCGGCCTCTAGGGAAAAAAGTTCAGAACTGATAGAGCTGTCCAGTATAAATAAAGTTAGTTTAGTTTAGGTTTCCTCCTGTAGTAACACTGGATCAATAAGAGATGATCCTTACTGGACCTCTAGGAAGAACAGTTTAGAACTGATAAAGCTATCTAGTATAAATAAAGTTAGTTTAGTTTAGGTTTCCTCCTGTAGTAACACTGGATCAATAAGAGATGATCCTTACCGGACCTCTAGGAAGAACAGTTTAGAACTGATAGAGCTGTCCAGTATAAATAAAGTTAGTTTAGTTTAGGTTTCCTCCTGTAGTAACACTCGATCAATAAGAGATGATCCTTACTGGACCTCTAGGGAGAAAAGTTAGAACTGATAGAGCTATCCAGTATAAATAAAGTTAGTTTAGTTTAGGTTTCTCCTGTAGTAACACAGTATCAAAAAGAGATGACCTTTACTGGAGCTTTAGGGAGAACAACTGATAGAGTTATCCAGTATAAATAAATTTAGTGAGTTTAGGGACCGGTCATTATTTATGACGGGGGGTGGCACCGAAGAGAAAAAGGTTGGGTAAACAAAATCTTGAGTGAGTAAAAGGTTGGGTAAATGAAAAACAAAACAACTCAAGGGTTGGGTAATAAAAATTTATTGTCATTTCCAAAGCATGACCCACTGAAATATTGGAGACTGAAAAGCAATGTCAACAGTCATTTGTCAATACAATATGTGAATCAATCAGAGTCACTATCTTGATCATTTTGACAAAACAAATGGTGTTTTCAAAGAAAGTGCATGTGCAGACAACATGAAACTTTAGACTGCAGAAAATTTCACAAGCCGTTATCAAACTTATGTCATAGAAGTGGTAAAAGACATGTGTGACAACTGAATGGTATCCTTTTGTAAAGTTTTTGGCCAGGCGTGGGTAATTATTTTTCAATTTATATTTGAGGTTGGGTAATCATTTATTAAATCTTTTTAATGGTTGGGTCAGCAAAATTTTTACCACGAAAAACATTTCTCTTCGGTGCCACCCCCCACCATAAATAATGACCGGTCCCTTAGTCCAGTTGTTTACCTTGAGCTCTGTAGTGAACTCAGCACACTTCAGGCAGTTGTTCGCAATAGCGACCTGTGGAAAGTGAAAAGACACGAAGAATAGATAAGTGCATAAACAACACTGTGTCCAACACGGCAAAATGCAGCAAGGTCAAATGGAAAACGTTTATCCTTTACTCACTACAAACTGAATGAAGTACTGTGGTTCATTTCTGTCTTCCGAATGTTCCTTTTTATATGTTCGCACAGCCTCTGGAAACAACGGACAACAAGATGAATTCTCCAAGTTCATTGTAGTTCGGATGTTGGCGGCTGAGTGAATAGTAGTACATGCACCTCTCAGGGTTCAAAATAACGGCCAGTCAAAGGTCAAAGACCAACATGACCAGTGAAATGTGTTCGACATTAGTCCACGTGACCGGTCACATTTTGGTTCTGGGAACGAGATTGATTTTCGGTCACTATGGAATGTCGTACCATGGAACACTATTTTGAGCCCCACCACGTCCCAAGGTTGCATTTCCTCAATCACAAGCGAGAAGAGCCCAGAGGAAATCCAGGTTGACTCTAGTCACTCTACAATGTTAATACTTTACACTCACCTCTATATTTCCTTTGAAATTCTTGCATAGCCTCAATACATGTTTTTAACACCTAAACATAGATATTACTGCCCTCAAATTCATCTTCAGACCGCCAAATGCAAAGAAAATACTGTCCACTTACAATTATCTGACATTCTTCGCCGGCTTGGGCACCAACTTGAATCTAAAACAATAATATATTGTCACTGTTTTTCTGACGTGAATGAAGTATTATTAAAAATATTTTCATTATATCTTACATTCTGGTCCACCATTTGAAACAAAAACACCGGAAGTGGTGTGATAAAGTAACCTTCACCATCACTGTCAGGCAATGAAGACTCGTGCCAGTCCTAAAGAAAAAACAGCGAAGCTCGGATGCGATTTGACTAACCCAGATATATAATTTAAATACTTGGTTACCTTTGTTGTATTCTATGCTTACATTATCAGAACAGTGGTATCTACGTTGTGAGTTATCCAAATGCGTTAAAAGATTGGGTTTGTACCTTCATATCTGTTTGTGCTAGTCTGTTCATCCATTCTTTGATATTCTTTGAAGTTGCCGTGAAATATCTATTGAAATATCAATGGTTTTTTTAGGTTTCCTCCTGTAGTAACACTGGAACAATAAGAGATAATCTTTACTGGACCTCTAGGAAGAACAGTTTAGAACTGATTGAGCTATCCAGTATAACTAAAGTTAGTTTAGTTTAGGTTTCCTCCTGTAGTAACACTGGACCAATAAGAGATGATCCTTACTGGACCTCTAGGAAGGAAACGTTTGGAGCTGATAGAGCTATCCAGTATAAATAAAGTTAGTTTAGTTTAGGTTTCCTCCTGTAGTAACACTGGACCAATAAGAGATGATCCTTACTGGACCTCTAGCGAGAAAAGTTTAGAACTGATTGAGCTCCACTATAAATGTTAGACTGGATCACTTACGTATCTTTCAAGGCTTTGAGGATATGTGGTTTTAGCAGTGGATCCAGAGTATGAGCGTCAATTTGTAACTCTGGATGCATCATAAGATCTTGACCACTGAAAAAAGCAACAAAGTATACTTGACTGTATTTACAATACACGTCTCAAACGACAGATAAAGAAGTATTATACAATGATTTCCCAAGATTCTGACACATTGAAAATGCTTCTGAAAATAATGTAAATTTCAAAAGTGTTATTCTTTTGGTGTAGTGAAGGCGAATGCTCGTCAGGATCCCAAGATCATGCAGTGTTCTCCAGGTCTGAGTCTTTCTCTCGATAGGTTGTTCCATCCTTTAACCAGCCTTAATATTTACAGTCAAACTTACTCGTATTCTGTCAACCACGTCAAAATACTGACACATTCATCTGACTCAAGAGCTTGCATGCACACCAGATCTTCCAACTAAAAATCCAAACAACACGGTGAAGAAGGACGACAAAAACACCAACACTACCAAAATACTGTCACAACTGTTTAGTGTACTTGCCATTTTAGATAATTCTTTGTGGTACATTTTCACATATTTATCAAAGATGTTGTAACTTGGAGGAAAACATGGCTGACCTGATGTCTAAATAAAAGAGAAAAGTTACATGTAGTGTACAGTATGTGTCTCTCATCTCTGTGACTGACTGAGGTTCCATTCCTGCAATATATAGTTCCCTTTTCAAATGACAAAACTCAATTTTCAAATAGCCGAACTCCATTTTCAAATAGCAGAACTCTTTTTTCAAATAGCAGAACTCCCTTTTCAAATAGCAGAACTCCCTTTTCAAATAGCAGAACTCCCTTTTCAAATAGCAGAACTCCCTTTTCAAATAGCAGAACTCCCTTTTCAAAAAGCAGAACTCCCTTTTCAAATAGCAAAACTCCCTTTTCAAATAGCAGAACTCCCTTTTCAAAAAACAGAACTCCCTTTTCAAATAGCAGAACTCCCTTTTCAAATAGCAGAACTCCCTTTTCAAATAGCAGAACTCCCTTTTCAAATGCAAAACTCCCTTTTCAAATGGCAAAACCCCCTTTTCAAACAGCAGAACTCCCTTTTCAAATAGCAGACTACTGCTCCCTTTTCAAACAGCAGAACTCCTTTTTCAAATAGCAGAACTCCCTTTTCAAATAGCAGAACACTCTTTTCAAATGCCAGAACTCCCTTTTCAAATGCCAAAACTCCTTTTCAAATGCCAAAAAACCCTTTTCAAATAGCAGAACTCCCTTTTCAAATGGTAGAACTTGGTTATCAACTTGACAACTTTATTTTGATTATTAATTAAAATGAAGATTAAATTGTTCTTTTACCGAAAGCGAAAATGAGCGGCAAGGTAAGAATTTGACCGGGCAACTCCGCATTCTGGCCGGACATTGTCCGTTGACCGGCAGTTATTTCGCGCCTGCAAAGATTCGAGGCTCACCGCACCTTAATGACAATCAAATCTTCCACCATCGTCTGTCGGGTTCTCTCCAAATGTTTCACCAACCACATTTTATCTTGCGCGCGTTCTTCTAGTTTGATTTGCAAACTTTCAAATCTAGAAAAATTATCTGTCAGTTTTAGCAAGCGTTACGGAACAGCAAATGGTAGTCAACTTCAGAGATACGTATCATGATACTTTAAACAAGAAATTTAAACTACATCTGTGTGGGAATTCTATTTATTTGCCACGATGCAAATATAAAGTACGTCCTTTTCTATTACTTGTTGTTCATGATAGTTGAGAGCGCTCCAAGCTGTCTTTGCATTTCCAAAATGTCTTTGCTTCAGTCTGTTTGAATAAATTAAATTAAACACCCAGATAAAAAAACACCCGGGCAGTCTATGTTCTGGAATCCTATCTTTGGAAAATGCAGGAACAGTTTGGAGCACATGCATGTTTAGGATGTTTACTGTACAGCCTGTCTGTGCTGCACAATGTTGACTCATCTATATGTATAATTTTTTTTTCTAACTTGATCATTTTCCAAACCATATTAACTTTGGAAAGTGTAAAGATGGGTTGGAACGCATTGATCGTGTGTTGTAATTTTGTATTGTAGCTTTGTTAAAGTTGTAACCTGTCTCTATTGTTTTACAATGTCAGTGTAATGTGTAGGTAGGACTTGATTTGGGACTCCTCAGTCCTGTTGTCTGTACCTTCAATCGTTTTGTTGATTGTAAAGTTTATAAATTAAAAAAAATTAAATAAAGTCTGGTTTACACACTATCAAAGTTTCTGCGATCACAGTAAAAATTTTGCACAAGTAAATATTTTGAAGAATTTGTAAGAAATGTTTGAGTTCCCTTCACAACACTTACGCATACAAAGAACTTATTACTTACGCCTGTATTCTAAAAGCTCACTCACACTCAATGAGTGGAGATTGAGTGTGGAGGTTCATTTTGAGCTTCTCTCTAGTGTCATTGCTGTTTTTGAATAGCTGGAGGGTTAGTGTCATACCTTACTATGTGACTGCTCACCCTCCAGCTATTCAAAAACAGCATTGACACTCAAGGGAAGCTCAGATTGAACCTCCACTCATTGAGTGCTTTTAGAATACAGGCGTTACTCAGTTGCCTCAAACATTCCTTACAAATCCTTTAAACCTTGGAATTTAGCTGTGAAAAATTCTTACTGTGATCACAGAAACTTTGATAGTGCAACCCAGGCTTAAGACTACTACGTAACTGTACATACAATGAAAATGATTAACTGATTATTTTCTCGCTCTAATAGCTACAGATTGACCATCAGGGCTCGAAATAGCGGGCTGCCAATGGCCAAAAGCAGGCCATATCTTAGAAATTATGGCAGGCAAAAACAATTTTCAACTGCCAAGTAAAAAAAAATGGCAGGTGAAATTTTATAGATATAAAATGTAAATCCACGTTTACTGTAGTAAAATAGACAAGTTTAAAAATAATAAAAATGCAGATCATGAAAACATTGATTTTTACAATATGACTCCTACGAGACATCGCCATTTTGGCAGTTCAATGAATAAAAATGGCAGGCTAAAATTTATTTCACCTGCCAAAAATTTTTAGACTGGCAGGCCATATTTTTTCTCTACTTCGAGCCCTGTTGACCACCATCTGTTGTACGATATAGTGAAAGCCACGCATACTACAATGATATTGTACCTGTGGTCTACCGACGTTTCTAGAGTTTCATATAATTTCGCTCTTAAACTTTTTGGCCTTTCAGGAGGATTGAATCCCGTTCTAAGCCGCCGTTCCTCAGCGCGTTTGTCAGCTCTGCAAATAAAGAACATGTCCGATGAGCATGTCAAGAGAGCCTTTAATATTTACTTACATTGTCGTTAGGTAGTGAACTCATAAACGTCATATACAGTACAATAAGATAGCTTCTATATACCAGGCATCGGTGGCACAGTCGTCAGAGATCGTGGGTTGGATTCTCGCTACGGACTCATGTGTAAAGTGTAAGTCAACGCTCTGTCGAAAGTCGTGGGTTGTCTCCGAGTGCTCCGGTTTCCTCCCACAGGGAAAGTTGACAGGGTGGGTTGGGATTATCCCCTAACTGACTCTTCCACCGTAGCTGTACTCTGTGATCAGACATGAGTCATAAGGTGGCTGCCAGAGGCGACCTTAGAAAGCTTTCGACTCGATCAGGTTGAGCTGCGTCCTTCGCAATGGACCATTTGCATTATAAAATGACTGAAAAAACGGCAAACTTCGCATGGCTATATTATCCACATTTTACAACATTTCGCAACGAAACTTTGGAATATTACTAATTTTGTGATGCTCTTTCAAGCTGTGATGAAATTTTTGTCTAGATCAAAATTTAGTCTATAATGCAAATGGTCCATTGAGCTTAGCTCTCAGCTGCAAGTAAGGATGATTAGCATCCCCCACTTACGAGATTTAAGAATGTTTCCGCTAACCTTTCCTCGCGTTCTACAATTCTTAGAACAGTCACGAGCTTTGCAGGGTCAACTCTTACAGTACTTAAGATTCTCTCCAAGATCACAACCAACTGTTTCGCAAGCTTTTTCTGAACGCAAAGAAAACACAATTTACGTTGCTTTTACTTGTAATTCATGAGGACAACACAAAGGAAACGAGCACCGCATCGATTTCATCATGGTAGCAACGTAATACCCATTCCATAATTAACTAAATTTTTACGTTGAATCTCTTTTTGGGAACATATTTACTTTCCAAACTATGTTAAAATCTAGGCTAGAGCATCGTTCCTAGTTCATCACTATTCAGAAAATAATGTTGTATTAAAACATAATAAAGTATAAACAACATTCAGAGCCGCCCAGAACACCCCCCTCCCCAACACACAGGAATATTCATTTTGATTTGGGGGCCCTGAAGCATGGGGCCCAGGGCAAATTGGCGCTTTCGTCCCCCCTCTGGGTGGCCTGGACGATCTTATAAAATCGTTTGTTACAGATTTCAAACACACAATTCTTGGAAAATCTCAAACCGTACCGAACAAACTTCGATTCCTGCGAAATATGCCTCCACAAGCTGAAAAAGAAAAAATTAAGATACACACTATGTAAGCAGACTAAATAGACCAAAAGTCTAAAACTACGACAATCTGCACATAATTAACCCAAAATAAACAAAATCGATCACAAACATGCGCTTCTTTCTTTGACGTTGAATTTGTTTTCTCCATTTTGTGAACTTCCAACAAAACTTCGTCTCTTGTTGCTTCCAGTTCGGATAACCTACGACGCATTGAAAACATGGTTTTACTTTTAGGACGAAACATTAAAGTAGCGCTGTTTCTGTACTGTATTGCTTCAACCTTGGGCTGTTTTACACTTTCAAAGTTTCTGTAATCACAGGAGGAATTGTGCGTCTAGGTAAATTCTAAGTTTTGAAAATTTGTAAGAAATGTCTGAGGAAACTGACTCAGTGTTAAACACTGTCACTGAGTTAGTCAATCAATTTACTGATACCTATGCAAAATTCCTACTGTGATCCAGTGGCGCCGTGGCCTGGGGGCCAGGGGGGGGGCATGGCAGAAATTGTCAAAGTTGTTGACGGGGGGGATGAAGATTTAAAATGTTGTCCGGAAAATTTTTTGGTTTGTTGGAAAAGTACTGCCCTTTGGCCCCCCAAAAAACATAGGTCCCATGACGCCACTGCTGTGATCACATCACGGCCAGATTTTGATATTTATCCCTTCCCCCACTATTTCCACCAAAATCTGGTAATGGATCACATAAACTTTGATATTAAATGTTGTTCTATTTCTGCAAGTTTAATTCATGATAGAACTATGACATACTTTTGATGCGCTTCAAGAAGTTTTCCATTCTCAATGCATTCTTCTGTATAAACAACTGTTGATGGAACTCCAAAGATTTGATTTAAATGTTGACATGCTTTGGCTGCCTAGACAATTATTGATCCAGTGTTACTACAGGAGGAAACCTAAACTAAACTAACTTTATTTATACTGGATAGCTCTATCAGTTCTAAACTGTTCTCCCAAGATGTTCAGTAAGGATCATCTCTTATTGATCCAGTGTTACTACAGGAGGAAACCTAAACTAAACTAACTTTATTTAGTTCTATCAGTTCTAAACTGTTCTCCCTAGAGTTTCAGTAAAGATCATCTCTTACTGATCCAGTGTTACTACAGGAGGAAACCTAAACTAAACTAATTTTACTTATACTGGATAGCTCTATCAGTTCTAAACTGTTCTTCCTAGAGGTTCAGTAAGGATCATCTCTTATTGACCCAGTGTTACTACAGGAGGAAACCTAAACTAAACTAACTTTATTTATGCTGGATAGCTCTATCAGTTCTAAACTGTTCTCCCTAGAGTTTCAGTAAAGATCATCTCTTATTGATCCAGTGTTACTACAGGTGTCCAGAAACTTGAGAAAAAATTTACCAACTTTACCTCGCTGTGTTTAGTGTGACAGTGTTTAATCTCATCCAGTTCCTCTCCAAGGTGGGTGCAAGATCGAAATATCTCATCAACTTCATTCATGCTACAATTTGTGAGAGAAATTTAAAAGAGTCCCATTAACAAATTTGAAGTATTAGGATGCAATCCTTCTTCTGCTAAGTAGCACCATTCATTATTGCAGTAATAGAACTAGCTTACTTTTTCTTGACATGTTTCACATCCTGTAGTGCGCTAAAGAAAATAAAAAGATTGGAAAATGAATTAATATTAGCGTGAGGTAGTTTCTACAAAAAAAACGAAAACCAACCAAAAAATCGAAACTACGGTAAAAAGACACACCACGCTACTCAGTACTCACGCAACAAATTAAACGTAAGGTATTTTGAAGACGTTATCAAATTTCAAACAAAATTTTTCATCTTTTTCGTTTTCCCCGGTTTTTCTCCAGAAGTAACATTGAGTATTTCAATTTTCCAAAAACATCGTATTTTTCGATTTCGGTTTACTGAAAAACTGCCTCACCCTAATTGATATGTATGCAGGCAAAACTATAGTTATGTGCTCAACACACAATAATTCACAAAGTGTCGGACCTTGTTGTTACAATATACCACTTTTACCTTTGAAGTTGATGTAAGCCTGATCGAACGTCGTCCAGTTGTGATTGTACTGCATTTTTAAGACGAGCTTCGACAGACGCCTGATGTGAAATTTGAGACAGTTTTGTTTGAAGGAAACAAATTTCAATAGTAACATTTTGCAAAAAAATAATCATGCTTTCCATGAAAACTAATCAATTCAAAACATGAATATTTTTCTTGTACCTTGTTTCTCATAACCCGACGTCGATATTGTTCAACTTTATCAAGCTGGTCTGGATGCTGAAATATTAATTATAAATACACACACATTGTTAATTAAATCCACGCATCCTCAATGTTTTAGTCGCTTGATCTAATCCTAATCCCTATCCAAACCCAGACACAAATCCAGACTGGTTAATCGTAAACCTAATCCAGTTAATCATAATCATTGAGCTAAATCTGACCTTAATTCTAAACCTGGCCCTAACCTTGACTCTAATCATCCAAATCCTGACTCTTATTAGGCTAATCTCAAATCTCGCTCTAATCCAAACCTTGGCCCTATCATAACCCGTTGAATCAAAATGCACCCTACTTTATTATTTTACTCTGTCTAATGCCAGATGATATTACTCTTAAGGGGAGAGTGCTGCCGCTTAATGGGTTAACTGGCCTATATCTGCCAATGTGTCTAGTTAACCTGTTGAGTCACATTGTGCCCTGATGCACCCTAGTACTTTATTATTTTACTCATCAAGGGGAGAGCGCTGGTACTTAATGGGTTAAATACAAAGTACAACGACAAAGACGTTGGTAAAATTTGTTGTGAACATCATTCTGAATCAAAGGCGGAAGAATAGTGGAGGGATATAGTTTCATGTCTCACTGTTTTGTCCGGGCAGGGTAAGGATTAGTATTCATATACAGAGAGACATGAATCTATAATGGGAAGACGGATTGAGCAACCACCAATGATGTGCAAGATAATGTGCAGACGGGCGAAAATTGTCAAGTATGTCTTCCTCAAACTCTCGACATCCAAGCTAGTCAAATCTTAAGTCATTAACAAATTATTTTAAATTATTGCCATTTGAAGGATTTTAAATATCACCATGCAGCAGATGGACTGGTCAATCAGCAGTTATCAAATATAATTTAATTTCCTTGCATCATAACTTTTCTGAAATTGACCAGTGACCATCTGCTGCACCCTGACAATTTAATCCTACCAGGAACCATCAAAACAAACGCATATTATACAGCATCGAATAAAGCTATACAATGAACAGTTTCATGGCAATATACGAACCTGTAAATAGCCTGCAACTGATCTACTGGCATTTGCTAAAGCCTCAGCTTTTGCACTGTTCAAATCGGCATCTTTATTCACGAAACTATCCATGAGGAAATCAAAAAATATTCAAAACATTTTGTTAAAGCACCCAAACAACTTGTCCCAGCAAGAACGAGCCCGCGTTACTATTGATGTTGAACGCACATACTTGAAATAAGATGGAATATAATTAAGGCGCCATGTGCCCTAATGCTCACAGTCTAAATAGTTCCTGTCTTCCCGATGTCTGTCGGTTTGAGATATCTTTTACAATTCCTGCTAGTTCAGACCACTGTCTGAGACACAAACCACTAAATCAACAAAAGCTTATTGTAAAATATGATATAAATTCTCATAAATTTTACCGGCAGGTACAAAACGCAGGTTGCAGGTTCCAGGTTGCAGGTTGGAATTTCACAGGTTGGGAATTTTGTAGGTTGGAATTTTGCAGGTTGGGGATTTTGCAGGTTGGAATTTTGCAGGTTTCAGGAATTTTGCAGGTTGATGATGCAAACTTAAAATTACACCACTATAAAGTATTCTAGTATAACCAGACACAGTACTAAAATGCGGTGCCCTGCAAAAAAAATTTCTGGCGTTTCGCCTACAAGTACACTTATATAAAATATACGCTAGATGGGGCCCCTAGATTCCTAATGTTGGCTAATACACGAAGTTTCTAGTGAGGGAAAAGTGAGCGCGCGAGGACCCACCATCGAATTTTTATCGAATTTCTAAAGTTTTTTCATGTGACGTCTAATGTTACGCTTACATTGGCGCAGCGCCCCCCAGCCCCCCCCACTCCGAAATTTTGTATGAAAAATTGAGATAAAGGACCTGGAAAGCAATTGTAATCATGGGACATATTCGAAAAATTTTGTAAAAATTTGGTCTGTCCGGAAAACATTTTTGACCCCTAAAATGGTACGCTGACCGAAATTTTTTTGGCGACGGGTGGGGGGGGGGCAGTTCGCCAAAATAAATTCCAGAAAAAAATTTTTCTCATCTCAAACCGTCTGTTATATTCTTTCGGCAGTGCCCCCCCCAGAAATCGAGAGCCAGCTACGGGCTTGCCTTGTAACATTCTTCTTAAAAAACTCATTAATAATTCATGAAGAAAACACAAAGAAAAATCATAAGCGTGTCGTATCTGTATATGTGATACAGATTTATGTTGATTTACATAAACTTTAACTTTGATTTTCTCGACTTACACAACGTTTATTTTTAAAATTACTTCGCCAATGAACTCATTAGATGAGTCGTTTTTTAAGTTGTTTTCGGCTCGAGTTTGTATATCTGCATCACACTTGTTAGAACAACTTTAAATGCTACAAGTCAGTCTGATAGTGCCATCAAGCTTGTTCCAACAACTGGGAACAAGCAGTGCGAACACAACTTGTTGACAGCTTGTGAACAGATTTGCAACAACTTTGTTTGCAGACCCGTAACAACTTGTGCGTTTTTACGTGTGTACTCGAAAATCGGGATACACACATAAAAATCTCACAACTTGTCAATAAGATGTGTTCACAACAGGCTTGTAACAAGCTTGTCAACAAGTTGTAACAATGCTGTTATTTCATCAAGTTGCTACAAGGTTGTCACTCACAACTTGTTGACAAATTGTTGAATTGCAGGACGATAACAAGTTTGTTGGAACAACTTGTAACAAGTCTGTTGAGCTCAACAACCTTGTAGCAAGTTGTCAACAAGCTGGGAGCAAGCAGTGCGAACACATCCTGTTGACAAGTTGTTGGAACAACATTGCTACAAGTCTGCTGCAGGTTTGTTACAACTTGTGCGTTTTTACGTGTGTAGTCAAAACAGTTGACACGTGATCTGCTAAAATCTAGCGGATTTTTAATTAGCAATCCAAGATGAGGTCAATAATAATCTAAATAGTTCCTGATCTCTGTCGGTTCGTATACAACACTGGACCCCACGTTTGAGATGTATTTTACAATTGCTGGTAGTTCAGACACTAACACAAGGTTCAAAACACAATCTACAGAACTGAGACACAAACCACAAAAGCTTATTGTAAAATATGATATAAATTCTCATAAATTTTACAGTCGTGGAGTGTTTCATCGTCATTAATTTATTAATACAAGTGATTAGAGAATTATAACTTAATGGTGTTTCCAAATTCAGAGAGAATAATTTAATTTTATTCACCAGTTTCAAAATCTTGTGAATGAAGCGAAACCTGGGTACGAGAATGCGTTAATGGACCTTTTCGACCACGCCATCGTGGGATCGGAATGCATTGTGGTCGGTAGTTTTGAAACGTCACCCCTGAAGATACTAGACTGGAGTGTCGAAACGTTGGATCTTGATTACAATTCGACTGGGCTTTGTAATTATTTATTTAAACCAGAGTAGCGAGCGAAACACGATTGTCCACCATATTTCAAAAATATCACTCGTGTTTTTCCACTTGCCGTGAGCGTATTTTTCCTTGGTTGTTGTGAAATACAGAGTTGAATATGAAATGTCGACTTTCCATTTTCCAAAGTCCTTTGTGGCAAGTCTATATGAAATGTTGAAAGTTTTCGTTTCTGCATTGAATGTATAATGCATACATTCAAACACTCATTAATAATTCATACACTTATTGGCAAATCATGTCAACCATAATATGTCATGTGCAGTGGCTTTAAACCTAATAAAACACTCCTGCTCGTTTATTAAACAGTACATAAAATTTATTATTGCTAAAATATTACAACACTTTTGTATTATCTAAGGCAGCCTGCTATGTCATATATGTTTCATACGCTGTACTGTGGATGGTGTCTGAATTACATGCAAACCGATTAAAATACATATCCAGAGTTTTTTTTGCGAAGGACCATTTGTCACAACTGACAAGGTTATTGTATGGTACGTACCACGCCCTCAAAACTAACAAATGAACTTTTCCACAACTTAAAAAGTATGTTTAGTGCTTTATCTGTAAAATGAAGAGATTTCAGATGGTACGGCAAAGAGAAAATGAAATCTGAAGTTCAGTCGAAATGATACGAGCCTCTCTAATAAACTCTTCTTCACGTAGTTCTGACACAAACCACGGCATGTTAGATTATATCTCAAGGCTTAGCTTATATATACATCTTAGAATATATCCTTCACTATCTATCATCATCCTCATCTTCATCTAATATTTCTTGAAGATTTTCTTCAATACCACCTTAATATAAATAAAGTTAGTTTAGTTTAGGTTTCCTCCTGTAGTAACACTAAAATCACTGATAAACTCATGAAAGCATTCATCGCCTTGATTTCTGCAGAATGAAATAAAAGCCATACTTACATAAATTTTTCCTGAGTATATTTGATCTTTGTTACTGATAATTGCTTGAAGACTTGACTAACATGATTTATTCTAGATCAATGATTTAAAATATATCAACCAAGGTTCAATATCTGAGCTATATTATAGTCAGAGCACATGGAAGGAAAAATTCGTCATGCATACGCATGAACAAGGAATACACTATAGTAGTGATATTTTGCATGTTTTTATCATTGTTTTTATTGAGAACGAACAAACACCATAATAGTGATATTTTGCATGTTTTTTTGAGAACAAGGAATACAATATAGTAGTGACATTATGTGTGTTTTTATTGAGAAGGAGGAATATACTATAGTAGTGATTTTGCATGTTCTTTTGAGAATGAGGAATACACTATAGTAGTGATACTTTGCGTTAATTTAACTTTGTATCATCATATCACTAAAAAAATAGCTTGCCCAGTTTCAGTAAATAACAGGAATGGATCATTCCAGAAAACATCCATACCACCCACACAGAGGAAATTGGAAGTTAACCCCCCTACCCCTTCAGATGTCCTTTTATTTACTATTATCAGAAACAGTTTTGTCTCCCCTCCCCCTCCGGACGGGAGAAATTTCCTCTGTGGGGGCAGTGTGGATATTTTCTGGAACGACCCAATTTATAATAATTACGTTTTTTAATTTCACTTCGTATCATGGTAATTGCTAGATAGTATACTTCAAAATAAGGTTTCCTTTTTTATAACGTAGAAAAAAACCATCCTAACGCAAAACTAAACCCTTACCCTAATACTAACCATAACCGAAATCGAGTTTTACTATAGTGCGAGGCAGCGAGACATGCGAGGCACGATGCGGGGCAGCGAGGCACGATGCGAGGCATGCGAGGCAGAAGTGCGAGGCATGAAAAAAAGTGCGAGGCATGCGAGGCAGAAGTGCGAGGCATGAAAAAAAGTGCGAGGCATGCGAGGCAGAAGTACGAGGCATGAAAAAAAGTGCGAGGCATGGAAAAAAGTGCGAGGCAGATGTGCCAGTGGGAGGCAGACACAATGACTGATTCCAAAATTTGACGATATTTAACATATTGAACATATATACTTCACTTGACGCTGGACAAACGGACAACTGTGAACGACATTCTAGTTTTAATAACAGTTCTGTCTATACATTATAGTTTTAAATAACTAGAGTCTTTAAATAACTGGAGTCTCCAGTCAAAACGTCAACAAGTAAACATTAACCTTAGACAATAGCTCAACAAGTGACAAGCTAGCTTCACTAAAAATTATGGAATATTAACTATTTTGCGTTGTTCATCTGTCAATTGAAAAACTACGTTCATACAAACTCGATAAGGTTTTATAAACGAATTTCTGGGTAAGTTGGAAATGCATTGAAACCAAGGGAAACCGGTCCAGGGCCTTTCTCACATCAGTCGCATGCCTCGTATGCCTCGCGGGCTTGCCATTGCCTCGCTGCCTCGCTGCCTCGCAGTTTGTGTGCACCTACCGAAATCTAACCCTAACTTATTTAAAAAATTAATCTAAAAATGGAAACCTTATTTTGAAGTATACCATCTAGCAATTTCCTTCGTATCATCGTATCACTGAAAAAATCCCATTGAACTATAAATAAACTGGAAGGCTAACTGCTATGATGAAGGCCTATGATTTGATGAAGCCAAAATAGTTTTTCTGAGTTATGAGCAGAAATACTTGACCCCAAACGTCGGGCTATATATCAAATTGAAGCTATTGAAAATTGCTATTCGGTGTGGAAATTTCAAGACTTCAGCGAAAAGAAAAACATTTAAAAAATACAAAAACAACTGCAAAACGGCAAATTATCGGTAATTATGTTTGTAGTTTTTTAATATTTCCCTTTTAGCTGAAGTCTTGAAATTTCTACACCAAATAGCGTTTTTCAATAGCTTCAATTTGATATATAGCCCAACGTTCAGTGTTGAGTATTTCTGCTCATAACTCAGAAAAACTAAAATGCACTGGCTTCAATTCCCCCCCCCCTGAGTTAGCCTTCCAGTTTATTTATAGTTCAATGAAAAATCCTTGCCCAGTCCTAATGACGCGACTTATAATAATGACGTCATTACTTTCACTTCGTACATTGCTTCTACTAAAATGATTACGTTGTCACTTTCACTTTCACTTCGTATCACGAAAATAAAATAGTCACAAAAGTGGACGGGTATTCTATAATCTAGCCCAGCAAAATTACTCAAACTACACTTATCAACCCTAAGCTTGATGAGCTTTTTCTCAAGCAAATGCGTGTCATATTTTTAAAACGACACAAGGAAATCGAATCAGAGACAACACCCATATTTTGAAATCATTTCCTCGCCGAGTACGAACGCCTTGCAGCAAATGAGCGAGGCGATATTTTGTTATTCTCGAACGCTAACTGTAATAAATTGAAAGGAATATCGAGTAAATTTCAAATAATCTGTTAATGAAAGTAGCAGCGTATTCAACGGTCAAATTTCAATCTGCCCTTCAGAATGGGTAATAAACTCGTGTATTTTTATAACTTGTGATGCTTTCTACGTAACTACAAGTTACACGACACATTCATGATGAAATAGACAATATTCTTACCTTATTTGTTGGTTAGGGAAACGACGAATCTCTTACAAAACTGAGGCTTGAATACAAACTGAAAACTTTGCTCAAGGGTAAACATGGTAAACTGCAACAATTAACGTTGACTTGATCGACGCGTATTTAATACCACATTTATTCTCCGCCCTGTCACATGATCTACACACCTTTTGATTGGCTGAGAGGAGCGTTCATTTGACGGCACGTGCGTGATGTGCGCACCCCTCCCCCTACCTGGGCAGAGGAGGAGCAAACGTCTTCCCACAATGCATTGCGTTTTAATAGCCCGCGTGCAGGCCCACCGAGTCCTGGGCCACAGAATAGATACTAGACCAGACGTGTCACTCAGAGGATATTTTGTCCGAAATTTTACGAGTGCTTACGTGAAATCACGGGTGAAATACGCCATCATATGACGCCAATCCTGGAGTGCACACGGAAGTTTTTCATTGGACAAACATAGGTACAAAGTGCCGTGTCCACTCCAGGATGGCGCCATAGAACGTAAAAAATTTCGGACGTTTTCCTTCAGCCAAAACAAATAGGAGTGTCCCTCTGGGAGTGTCCCTTCTGGTCTGGTATCTATTCTCCGCGGGTGGCACGCGGACTAATTTCGTTGGCTCACAGCTGTACATGCGCATGCGTAAGAGTCGGACAGAAAGAAAATGGAAAAACTCTTTGAACCGAGTTGTCGAGTTGAAGCATAGACAATCCAGAATACATTCTTCTGTCTTCTGGATCAGTCTATGGTTGAAGACACCGAAAAGTTTTAAACCAAGATTTTCCCAAGTCTCTCTTTCTTACTGGTGTTTCCAATTCCTGAGAGAGTAGTTTTATTTTATTTTATTTTATTTTATTCACCAGTTTCAAAATCCTATGAATGGAGCGAAACCTGGGAACGAGAATGCGTTAATGGACCTATTCGACAACGCCATCGTGGGATCGGAATGCATTGTGGTCGGTAGTTTTGAAACGTTTTACAACCACATAGATATATATGTCAGATTTGTGATGTGATTCCATCATTTATAGGGTACTGCCTCTGAGCAACGAATTTGTCATTATTTACTAGCGACGAGCAATTCTTAATACACTCAAATTTTCATTCCTAGCCCTTCGTCTCAGAACTGTCGTGGTGACCAAACTATAGGATGACATAATGTCGCGAATTTCATCTAGAGGGAAAAAATAAAACGCCTCAATGTTAACACAAAACGAACCTTCTACTAAACGCCTGCTACACAGGCTACAATCCTTCCTGAGCCACAAGTCTGCAAGCAATATTGCTGTTTATATCTCCTGGCTATCTCATGGTTCTAGGAACAAATTATGTCCGATTATTCGCTGATAATTGCCTAGTAGGCTACCGTATATTATTTATACACAATTACACATCGTTCATTTGTCCGTTCCAAAGAAAAAATGTCATGTAAAAATTTTGTCTCCGTCTTGTTTAATATTCTACCTGGTTTATTCTCCTCCAAAACCAGTAAATAAAATACTCCATTTTCTGACAATATGTTTGGAACAATCGGAAATATTTTATCCATAATCTATAGGAGAAAATAAAAGAAAATCATAAAAAATACTACTTTCATGAGAAAAAATCCCCGACTTACGTTACTTTGTATTGTAATGTGATAATTAAACAACACAGACAGCTCGTGTTTGAGTGACCACCAGTCAACTCTTATCAAATCTCGTGCAACTCTTGTTCTCGTTTGACCAGGGCATGAGAGTTGAGAAAACTCTGATGCAAACTCTCGCTTCTCAACTCATGCAACTCTTGTTCTTGTTTGACCAGGGCATGAGAGTTGAGAAAACTCTGATGCAAACTCTTGCTTCTCAACTCTCGTGCAACTCTTGTTCTCGTTTGACCAAGACATGAAAGTTGAGAAAACTCTCATGCAAACTCTTGCTTCTCAACTCTCGTGCAACTCTTGTTCTCGTTTGACCAAAGAAACAGCAAACTGTTGATGTGTTAAAGAGGTCCAACATTCTTCAACTGTACCTCTCTCCCATGCCTTCCTCCAGCCCAAGCTGCGGAAATTCCACGATCTGATATCTAAAAGAAACATCTCAATGATTATTTTTGATGCAAACAGATCTTCAAAGTTCAAATAGTATAAGTAATTCGTACCTCGTGTGAAGGTGTGACAACATAAGGAGGATTAAACATTAATACATCAACTTTGCAGTCCTGAGAAAATCTGCAACCATCAATCTATAGAAAGTAGATAACTAGATATCTTCACAATCAGGAGTTTGATCTGGGCTACAGGTATTTTTCAAGTACAAACGCATACCATGTTTGTGTTGAGTACACTGACAGTTACTCCATTTTTCTGAGCAGTTTCTTGAGTACAAATACAAGCATTTGGATTGATGTCTGTTGCACTAGAAATACATGGAAACGTCTGGTATGTTATCCCCAAACCAAATCCAAATGCTTACCTATGATTTTCCTTTAGGTTATGCTATAAATCCCAAAATCAAAGCTTAATCCAAATTTCAAACACAACTGAACTCTTATTTGACTCTAGTAATTAAATGTAGTAATCATAATTCTAACCCTAATTTTAACCCTAATTTTAACCCTTTAAGTGGCAATGCACTCTAATGCACACACCCTGCTTTATTTTACTCATGATCCATATCCTGAAGGTACGTTTTACTACTTTACACGCTGCAAATTCGTTGGCCACGATTCGTATTCTAGAGTATGAAAATTAGTGAAAATTAACGCCACAATTCCTCTTCATTTAGTTTATGGCAAAATTTGAAATGTAAAAGAAAATAAATGCATACGCATGGTTACTTGATTGCATACCCTAGAATACGAGTGTAAACATACCTTAACTCTATTCCTAACTTATAAACTAAACTTTTAACTGCAATTGTTGTTTTAATCTAGAAGCCCTGTAATCTGAACCTAACCACAGGTGGTTTAAGTTGCCAAGTTGGTGGCATAGTTTTGCAGGTGTTAGGTGCAGATTAACCAAACAAAACTTTCCATACACATAGTGTACATGTTCTCCAAGTATCGACGCCAAAAATGTGACAACGATTCCACTTCCACTTCCGACCTCCAAACAAACACTTGGCCTTGAAAAAATGGATGGTATGTCATAAAACAAACTGAATATAGTTCACACTTCTGAAATGGTGGAATCTTAAATAATGCTGAAAACTATTGTTTGCATCTAGAGACAAACAGTCGCAGATAAAAACATTGTTAAGAATCTCATGTCAAACTTTTATGTTTGTCAAGTGCATCTGATAAATTTGAAATCTGATCAACCAATCATGTTTCATATTTGGGTAATTTGCAAGTGTTCATGACTAGATGCCAACGACGGTATCCGCGAGCAATGCATCTGTGTACTTACTTTAAACTCAAAAGAAACTCAGAATCCTTTTCAAGGGCATCGAGCAATAAAAAGCTGTCTTCGCTCGGTTCATACACATCCTCGTATGTATAAACATGGCCATATTCTGGTGTTGAAAACATTTATTTCAAAAACATTGTCCACCATATTTAAAAAATATCACTCATGTGTTTCCACTTGCCGTGAGCGTATTTTTCCTTGGTTGTTGTGAAATACAGAGTTGAATAAATTTTGAATAATTATAAAATGGTTGAAAGTTTTCGTTTCTGCATATATACAATAAAATTTATTATTGCTAAAATATTACAACACTTTTGTATTATCTAGGGCTGCCTGCTATGTCATATACATACACTGTACATAAAATAGTTTGAAAATAAGACATCATATGTTTCATAAGCTATGTTGTGGATGGTATCTGAATTACATGCAAACCGATTAAAATACATACCCAGAGTTTTTTTGCGAAGGCCCATTCGTCACAACTGCCAAAGTTATTGTATGTAACGTACCACGCCCTCAAAGCTACCGAATATATTTTTCCATTTTATTATGGGTAAATTTGTTTTTAAATTTTTGATACGTTTCCCAAGCAAACAACTTAAAAAGTATGTTTAGTGCTTTATCTGTAAAATGAAGAGATTTTAGATGGTACGGCAAAGAGAAAATGATATCTGAAGTTCAGTCGAAACGAGCCTCTCGAATAAACTCTTCTTCACGTAGTTCAGACACGAACCACGGCAGGTTATATTATATCTCAGGGCTTAGCTTATATACATCTTAGAATATATCCTTCATTATCTATCATCGTCCTCATCATCAACAGATTCTAGATATTGTTGGTAAGCAGCTTGTAGATATCTATGTTCATGGTCAGGGTCAGCTGCAGGGGCGAGATCAAGATGATTTTCTATTTTATCTCGTTCTTCGTCTAATATTTCTTGAAGATTTTCTTCAATACCACCTTAATATAAATAAAGTTAGTTAGTTTCCTCCTGTAGTAACACTGGATCAATAAGAGATGACTATTAGTGGACCTCTGGGGAGAACAGTTTAGAAGTGATAGAGCTATCCAGTATAAAGTTACGAACCGTACCTACAACACTGGTAAAACTGTACATGTTTATATCCACAGGTTGAGTGAGCCAGGGATTGCGAAGCAGATCTTGCATGATAATCCGATAAAGTGGATCAGGATGTAACATCCAACAGATAAGAAACATCAAGTCTACATGAAAAAAAAAACAAAATTAATGTTATCTTTCACAGGAGATCTTTGAAGATGGCAGTCTTTAGTGGAGTGTGGGGGACACGATTGTTTCACATCTGTGACCAATCCTTACTGGATCTCTGGCGAGACCAGCTTAGAACTGATAGAAATATTCTTGCCTTGCGAAATAGAGAAAGGAGGATGCAACTCGGATCTGATGGTTTCTTCGACATCATAAAATGGATTCTCTCCAAATATTAGAGTATAAAGAGTGACACCCATGGACCAAATCTCTAATTCTGGGCCTCGGTATCTAAACCAAAAAAAAAGATTTTTATAGTTTTAATTCTCGTTTTGAATAAAATGAACAACAAAAACAACCACAAACTTTCTGAAAGCAACCAATGCCCGAGTGATCAGGACTCACTTGTTGCCAAGCAGAACTTCGGGAGAGCAATACTCCATTGTCCCACAAAACGTCGAGAATAATTTCCCCTCTTCCATCGTCGCCGCGGAACCAAAATCTATCAGCTTCACCGTGAACGCTTCGTCTAATATCACATTTTCATCCTAGACAAAAGAATGATTAGTTCATCGCAGGAATCTAGCAAGCGTTACCATGCCTGTAGAAAATCCTCCTAGGTGTGCTGGGCAAGACGAAATTTTTCCTGACCAAACTGGAAAATCATCTTGCATGTTGCAAATAAATATTTGACTTGACAGGACATTTGTCCGATCACTTTTAATTTTGGTCGAACATAACTTGAATTTGGTCAGACAAAAACCAACCCCACTAAATTTGGTCGGACATATATACATCACAAGATATATATAAGTCACGAGACAAGTATGTATAGCCATTCCGGCGCAATGGTACTGTAAGTAAAATGCTAGAATACCTTGTAAATTTTATTGTAAAATGCAAATTGAATGAATTTGCAATCGGATTTTGTCACAGCAAAAAAATGTATAATGTGACAATTTTTTTGTGATCGGACCAATGTCCGATCAAAATTACTTTTGCTCGGACATTTGCCAAATTTAGTCGGACATTGTCCGATGTCCGACAGTAATTTGCAGCCCTGCGTTGTAAAGCTGGAATAATACGAGCAACAAAATTGCTGCAACTTGCAACAAAATCTGATTTCAACGCATGTTAAGTAGAAATGTCGACATATGTTGCCTTGTGATTTGTAATTTATGCGTAAATATTTTCAATTAACATGCATTGAAATCAGATTTTGTTGCAAGTTGCAGCAATTTTGTTGCTCATGTAACTCCACCTTAAGCAAAACTTTATATAAGAAATTAAGAACGGTAGTGCTCAGTGAAGCTTATCAAGATTTTTGTGGCAACTCACTGGAATGAATAATATTTGAAGCGTCTTGTAGATGGAAATTATCGAGTGGAAATTTATATACATTTATTAAACCTAACCAGAAACAGCTGCGAAAAATGCAACTTTAGATCCCTGGCAGGAATTGAACCTGCAGCCCTGTATATATAGGACTGGTCTGCAAACAGTGAAATATTTTTGTGTTTCAATATTAATAGCTACCTTCACATCTCGATGAAGGATATTCTTTGAGTGTAAATATGCAACAGCGTCAACGACCTACACAAAGATGTTTAAGAATCAGGCAGTGCTACATCAACCTAACTTTTAGTTGGCCATCCTTACAATCTCGTAGGACTTGCATCAAATTTGTTTACAAGTCTTATATATTTTCCCCATACCTGTCGAAATAGATAACTCGCCAAAGCCTCGTCCATATTCGGTTGTCTGTCAATGAACTCAAACATATCCATTCCCCCGCCATGTTTCTCCATGACAAGTTGGAAGAAATCGTCATTCTCGAACGCATCTATCAACTAAACAAAAGACAATCATAAATAAATAAATAAATAAAGTAAGTTTAGTTCAAGTTTCCTCCTGTAGTAACACTGGATCAATAAGAGATGATCCTTACTGGACCTCTAGGGAGAACAACTTAGAACTGATAGAACTATCCAGTATAAATAAAGTTAGTTTAGTTTAGGTTTCCTCTTGTAGTAACACTGGATCAGTAAGAGGTGATCCTTACTGGACTTCTAGGGAGAACAGTTTAGAACTGATAGAGCTATCCAGTAAAAATAAAGTTGTTGTTGTTGTTGTTTGAAAATCTCTTACCTTAACGACATTGGGATGTTTTAGTTTAGCAAGAAGAGATATTTCGAATGGAACTGTTCCCAACACTGGATCATCCCTCCAAGAGCCTTTTAGTACTTTGTCTTTGCGAATAAATTTGACGACGACCTGTTGAAGAGAAGATCACAGAAAGAATGTTTCCAGTGTCGCCTCGATAATATGTGAGAAAAGTGATTCCAGTAATCCAGTTTGATTCTGATAAGCAGGTTTTCTGTAGGTAATCCAGTTATCACTGAGATATTAATACAGTTTAGAAGTGATAAAACTACTCATTATAACGCTCTTTAGTTTAGGTTTCCTCCTGTAGTAACACTGGATCAATAAGAGACGATCCTTACTGAACCTCTAGAGAGAACAGTTTCAAACTGATGAGCTATCCAGTATAAATCACGATAGTTTCGTTTTCATTTTCACCTCTCGATTATCAGATCTCCTTTTAGCAAGTTTGACAAACCCAAACGCTCCTTTACCAATCGAATCTAACGTTAGATATCGTTCATCGTATCTGCCTCTGCCCGGGGAATTTTCATCTTTTAGACTGAGCTCACTGATGGACTGACCAAGCTGGAAAATATGATATATACATAGTTTGGTAAGAGTTGCCCAAAAAGAAAGGTGTTGTTGTTGCTGTTGTTGTTGTTGTTGTTGTTGCTATTGTTGCTGATGTTGCTGTTGTTATTGTTGTTGTTGCTGCTGATGTCGCTGTTGCTGCTGTTGTTGTTGTTGCTGCTGATGTTGCTGGTGGTGTTGTTGTTGTTGTTGTTGTTGTTGTTGCTGCTGATGTTGCTGTTGTTGTTGCTGTTGTCGCGGTCGCTGTTAAGCATTAAGCAAACTAAATTTACTTTATTCTCTTACTAAGTACTATTAATTATTTTGATCGAAAGCTTCAATTAGAAATTTTTCCGCAAAATGTAACTAACATAACATACCTCCTTTATTCCTCCAACAGACGAGACGAACAAGCTGTTATGACTTGATCCCAATGTATGATTTCCTTGTGTCGGTCCTCCTTCTTCGTCCTCAGGATCTTTCGATATCCAGATACAAAATAAAACTTGCCCATCTTTTAGCTCGACTTTTTTGATCTGGAGAATGAGTTTTGGACTTTAGTTTTATATCAGTAAGGAATGATCTTTACTGGACCTCAAGGGAAAACAGTTTAGAACTGATAGAACTATCCAGTATAAATAAAGTTAGTTTAGTTTAGGTTTCCTCCTGTAGTAACACTGGATCAATAAGAGATGATCCTTAATGGACCTCTAAGAAGAACAGTTTAGAACTGATAGAACTATTCAGTATAAATAAAGTTAGTTTAGTTTGGGTTTCCTCCTGTAGTAACACTGGATCAATAAGAGATGATTCTTACTAGACCTCTAGGGAGAACAGTTTAGACCTGATAGAGCTATCCAGTATAAATAAAGTTAGATTAATTTACTTGAAACAGCAGACCAAGAGACGATCCATCTTTGTGCTGGGCTCGACCAACAAACATTCCCTCGCATATTGGTTGTACAGGAGACTGGACACTAGGAGTATCTCCCGCGCTGGACATATTGGGAGTTGACGTAAGAAGCTCAGAACGAAACCCAGGTGGTCGAATGGGTGTACTGCGTTGGCCAGATGTACCGGTACTTTCTGTTTCTGTAGAAGAGCCAGGTCTTGAATCACTGGTATCTAACAAGAAGATATAGGAGGTCATTCACCATTACACAAGCTCAACATTGACTTGGGCGACCAGGGGCGTAGCGCAACGTGATTTAACATGGAATTTATCATAAGGCGTATGTGAATTTTATGTAAAGGGAAAGGTTGTCTCAACCAGTCCATGTCTAACATTACAAGTAACTACATTACTAGCTCGTGGACACATTAACTAACTAACGAATTGAGGCATAGGGGGTTTTACTTGAAGTTCACCATATACTGTGTGATTAATATATCGCTGTCCTATAGAGAGAGGAAGGATAGATTTATTATAAACTCACATTGCAGTAAAAACTGAATTGCGCGATTGTTACATGGTGTAAATTGATTACCTAATTATACTTTAAATTATTTAAAACACAAAAGTTATAGTCATTTAAAACCTCTGCGAACAATATTAACATCAAAAACAATATCAAGAATAATAAAAACCATTACGAACAATATAACGCATTATAAGCATTCCTGCTAAGAGATTAATTAACGCGTTATATTATTCCTAACTGTTGTATAGCTGTTCTACCGCTGACCTTTGCCGCGTTTCGCCAACATATCCCTGAATAAATCCTCCGCAGTATAGACTCCCGAATCATGATCTCTAGCTGTTACCACTGGAGATGACACAGCCAGGGGCTCGTCAGGTGATCCAGGAACTGGAATCACGCCCCGTTCACGTGATCCACCTCCCGATGATAATACCGAATCTTCACTATGTCCCTCGTTACCCCTCTCCGCCACTGGTGTCCTGTTATGTTCAATATTATCCTCAGGGGTCTGATCGTTGCTGATAACATTGAGTGAAACCTGATCAGCCCTATTGTTCGTCAGGTCTTCATTGGTTTGTTGGTTAACATTAGGCGAATCCTTATCAATACAGATGTTATAATCTTCAGCACGTGGTGTTTTCGTATCCAAACAATCTAAAGTAAAATTCCTTTCAGTCACTCAATCACGCTATTTAAAAAAATAAAGATGTTTACCACTTTTCTCATAGGGAAAAGTTCCTACCTTCGGACTCAGCCTCGTTTTCATCCTCCACGTCGAAGTCGCAATTTACATCCGGGTTATCATTTCCCTCGTTCCCAGGTTCCTCGGTTCCGTCATCCGCGTTCATCAAGCTACTCAGACTGATGGTGCTCGGTGAACTGTCGCCCAGTGTCGCCCTCGTGCTGTCGATCTCTGATGGATGGAAACTACCGGCAGTTGCAGATAGATTGCCCAAATCACCTGCGAAGAAAACGAGAGTATAAATAAAGTTAGTTTAGTTTAGGTTTCCTCCTGTAGTAACACTGGATCAATATGAGATGATCCTTACTGAACCTCTAAGAAGAACATTTTAGAACTGATAGAGCTATCTAGTATAAATAAAGTTAGTTTAGTTTAGGTTTCCTCCTGTAGTAACACTGGATCAATATGAGATGATCCTTACTGAACCTCTAAGAAGAACATTTTAGAACTGATAGAGCTATCTAGTATAAATAAAGTTAGTTTAGTTTAGGTTTCCTCCTGTAGTAACACTGGATCAATAAGAGATGATCCTTACTGGACCTCTAGGAAGACCAGTTTAGAACTGATAGAGCTATCTAGTATAAATAAAGTTAGTTTAGTTTAGGTTTCCTCCTGTAGTAACACTGGATCAATAAGAGATGATCCTTACTGAACCTCTAGGAAGAACAATTTAGAACTGATAGAGCTATCCAGTATGAATTATAAAGTTAGTTAAGTTTAGGTTTCCTCCTGTAGTAACACTGGATCAATAAGAAATGATCCTTACTGGACCTCTAGGGAGAACAGTTCAGAACTGATAGAGCTATCCAGTATAAATAAAGTTAGTGTAGGTTTCCTCCTGTAGTAGCACTGGATCAATAAGAGATGATCCTTACTGGACCTCTAGGGAGAACAGTTTAAAACTGATAGAACTATCCAGTTATAAATAAAGTTAGTTTCCTCCTCTAGTAAGATTGGGTCAATAAGAGATGATCCTTACTGGACTTCTAGAAACAACAGTTTAGAAATGATAAAGCTATCCAGTATAAAATTAGTTTAAAAACTTACGCGATGTGAATTTAAAATAATTTCGTGGAGATTGTTCTTCTACGGGTGATTGAACATCATATGCATCGTCTTTACCGTTCTTTTCATCATCTTGAAAATGTTGTACAAAACACAATTTTAAATTTTAACATTTTTGAGTTTTTTTTTAGTTTCACACTACCAAACACAACATGTTTTCCTAGCTATTCCTGTTTCCTCCTGAAGTAACACTGGATGAAAAAGAGATGATCTTTACTGGACATCTAAGGGGGGAGTATTTTAGAATCATTAGAGCTATCCAGTATAAATAAAGTTAATTCGACCATAACCACCATGGTATATCATATATACGTGACCTACTCCTTAAACGCAGCGAGATTCACGATTTAAACACAATGAATAAGGAATATCAAAATATTCCACCACACAAAACAACGGCAGGGCAAGAGTTTCCATTACAGAGCTGTAAAGATTTGGAATAGCCATAGACAACGACTTGAAGAAATTACCCAATAAAAACATTCAAAACTGAGTCGAAGAAGAAAATGTTAGGAAACAATTAATATTGATGTAAAGTTTAAATGTTTTATATAGAACTTTATATAGAATTTTTAATATTTTAAAAATAAACAAGTATTGGAAATCCTGGACAGGGAATACTGTATTTTATAATAATAATAATATTACTAATAATATAGCAACATCTTACCGTTACTTTTAGTGCTAGATTGAGAATCGATCTCTCTGGAATATATGACAGCAGTTTCTTTAGGAGTGAAAGCTCTGCCAGTGTCTACACCAGACAACCGCGAACACATCTCGATATCATCGTCCTCGTCCAACGGAGGGAATGGCATACTACTATCGTCCACCAAGTCCATGTGATCGTAGAACGCTGGTACGAGCTGCGTGATTGGCTAGATTATTGGGAAGCAGAAATAGTGACAATCAATGCAATAGACAATTCTCATTATAAACTAATTTTAAAACTAGGCAAGGAGATGCAAATAAATCACCACTGCTAGAAAGAGCATACTAAAAGTAGTAAAATTGCAGAGTTTGGTTGTGAAATGTTGTAAAATACGGAAAATATATCCTTGCAAAGTTTGCAAATTTTGTATACTTTGTATTGTGTGCGGAAATTGCTACCAATTTCGGCCCAAATGTGGTAGTAATTTCCGCAACCAATACAAAAGTATACAAAATTTGCGAACTTTGCAATGCTATGCTTTCCGCAGTTTACAACATTTCGCAACCAAATTTTCCAATTTTACTCATTTTAGTATGCTCTTTCCGGGAATATACTTTTTTTGCCAAGATAACAAATTAGCCGATTGAATTAAAAGGTTACGTTGACAGATTGAAGTTACCCCATCTGAGCAAATTCTTTACTCTCGACTAACTAACTAATTCGCTAGTTTTCCATAAAAAGCGCATAAAAGCAGTTTCTTAAAAAATCACAATGGTTCACAACCACATACCTTGCCGACCAACTCGTTATCAGAATATCCAAACAACATGAGCGTGAAGTTCTTATTACAACTATATATAGCACCGTTGGGCAACACACTGACCAAGCCGCTGATATTACTGAACACCCAAACCACACCAATATAGCTTGATGTGTGATTCTCGTTTTCTTTGATCGAGATACTCAAAGGAAACGCCGGACCATCTTTCGTTCTGCCTGTAGCTTGCTGCTTTTTGATTTTCTGTCACAGAAACAAAAGAGAGAGACTATATAGTAAAGAGCGCTACAGGCTGAATCACAGTAACAAGTCGTTGGTAGCCGTTGCTGACGTAGAGTTTTTCACTTTTTTCTGTTAGATGATCCTTAGTGGACCTCTAGGAAGAACAGATTAGAACTGATGAGCTATCCAGTAAAACTAAAGTTAGCTTAGGTTTCCTTCTGTAGTAACACTGGATCAATAAGAGATGATTCTCACTGGACCTCTAGGAAGAACAGTTCAGAACTGATAGAACTATCCAGTATAAATAAAGTTAGTTTAGTTTAGGTTTCCTTCTGTAGTAACACTGGATCAATAAGAGATGATCCTTACTTGACCTCTAGGAAGAACAGTTTAGAACTGATAGAGCTATCCAGTATAAATAAAGTTAGTTTGGTTTAGGCTTCCTCTTGTAGTAACACTGGATCAATAAGAGATGATTCTCACTGGACCTCTAGGAAGAACTGTTCAGAACTGATGGAGCTATCCAGTATAAATAAAGTTAGTTTAGTTTAGGTTTCCTCTTGTAGTAACACTGGATCAATAAGAGATGATTCTCACTGGACCTCTAGGAAGAACTGTTCAGAACTGATAGAACTATCCAGTAGAATATAGATTACTCTCACCTTATCTATAACTTGTCCTGGAACTGGTAGGACAAGTGAGGGGATAAGCTGTTTCACATTCATGTTCACGAGTTCATCAGAAGAATATCCATGAAGATAAGCCAGCTGTTGGTCACATTCTAAGATTGCACCCTAAGGTAAATAGCGATAATATGTACACCTGATCAGTTAACATGTTTTTAAGCTCCCAAATTCACTCACAAATATAATTTAAATTCTTGGTTACCTTTGTTGCATTCTATGCTTACATTATGAGAACAGTAGTAACTAGGCATGTGAGTTATCAATTCACTCATATATAATTTAAATTCTTGGTTACCTTTGTTCCATTCTATGATTTATTCTAACTTATACATTGTCAGAACAGTGGTAACTAGGAATGTGATGCATCATAATTGTGTTTGTGTCAGGTGGTTTTGCAGAGGATGTACAATGTGTGTTATGCCATCAAGAAATGCCAACAATTGCAATACCTTGCTATCAAACACCAAATGGGCAGTTTGTCTTTCGACAGGTTCCATGATTGCAATGCATCTTGGTTCTTTATCCCATATGACTTTCTTCATCCACAGTGAGACAGGGAAAACAACATTATTGCTGTCAACTGCTTCAAACTAAATCAATAAAAGATAACTATGAACATTCTGCTACTGTTATGAAGGAGCATTGATTAAAAACGTGACATTCTTAAAGCTAACAATAAGAGACTTGAAGTATACTTATCTGCAACTTACCACTTTCCCACTGACCATAACCACTGCACCGCTGTCCTCAATATGTTGCTCGACCAAGGCCTCCTGTCGAGCCTCGTCACTCTTAGTAAACATTTTCGACATTTTCATGCCAATAAGCTCGTCATGTGTGTATGCAAACATGTCACATGCAACATCATTGGCAACTAAGATTTCTGATGTTTTTGCATTGAATGTCAGTACAGCCTTGTTCTGTAAAAAAATAATTCATACTATATATTAACCCTTAGTTTATTAAAAGTGGCATTAAAAGTGGCAATGCACCCTGATGCACCCTACTTTTAGTATTTTACTCTGTCTAATGCCAGACGGTTTTACTCGTCAAGTGGAGAGTGCTGCCACTCAATGGGTTAAGTAATCCATTAAGCACCAGTACTCTCCCCCTGATGAGTAAAATTGTCTGGCATCAAACAGAGCAAATTAATAAAGTAGGGCGCATCAGAGCACAATGTAATTCAAGGGGTTAATTAGACACATGGGCAGATAGGCCAGTTAACCCATTAAGCATCAGCATTCTCCCCTTGACAAATAACAAGTAAAATTGTGTGACTCAATGGGTTAAGTTGTTCTTTGTAAGTTTGCATGGTGAAACAATTTTTCTTGTTGAAAACCACATATATTTATTATTGCAAAAGTTTTCAATCCATATGGGTAGATATTCATCATTGCTAAATATATTTGATGTCTGTCTGAGGGAAACCTATAACTTGATGTATATGTTAATTGATAATTTGTACTTACTGGATTACGGATGACTATCGGTTCAGCAGTTGCAGCAGTATCGGCACCACTGACGTAATTAAAGAATTGCCATGATGCGCTCATTGAAGCTTGAAGTTTGCCAGGCTCTGGGATATTGCAGAAACTTCCTTTATACGGCACTGCTGCAAAACTGAAACTGTGGAGTGCATTTCCTGATAGAAAGACAACAAAATTAGCACACTACAGTAATAATAGAAGCAATCCAGTTGTTGCTACAGCATTCTATTTTAAGCTGTCCTCATTGACGTCTCAACATGTACAGCGCTCTCCCCTTGACAAGTAAAACTGTCTGCTGTTAGACAGAGTAATAAAGTAAGTGCATCAGGGCACAATGCAACTCAATGGGTTAACTACGATTAGTCATCAGTAATAAGCAGCTTGTGCGTGAGAAGAACATTGTGGTCAAATGTAAAGCATATGCACGAGTATACAGAAATGGCGGGAAAGTGTCTGCCAAAATAATGGGAGTAAACACGTGAAAAGAAAAGCATTTACAATAAGGAAACGGCTGAAGCTATAAGGTGGGGAATTTCACCAGTTTTTCTTTGTGTCAAGGCAAAGTTATACTGTACAGAGTTTGAACTCTCATAAATTTTCTTTAAACTTTTTTCCAGAGCTTCATTTAGACACTACTATCCCTAGTGTTTCAAATACAAACACTCAATACGTGGACATTTGATTGCAGTGTTTGTGAGAAGTCAAAACTACCACACCTGTCCATTGCTCGTCTTTGACGTCCCCATCACTATCCTCTTCCTTAATCCCTTCATTTTTTCCTTTCATTTCCCGCCAGATTTCTGGCAAGCTTCGGTTCATCAAACATTTCTGATCAGGCATGGACTGACTCAACTCGACACTTGAAAACAGATTCTTCTTCGACGTCCTGATACGGTCCAATGGCGACGGGTGGGATGGTGTGCCAAATATCGGTCCACTGGCATTCAACATGCTCACACAACGGGTCGGCATCGTCTTATTTAAATCCTGCATTAAACAAAAGATAGGGGAGGTACATACATACTCCTCCATGGGGAAAATGTGGATCTTTTATAGGATGACGCAATCAGGGGTGAAAAAAATAGGCGAGCACACAAGCACAGTTTGCTGGAAATGTTAAACAGCTGCAGGAAATTTGCAGAAAACCTTAACAGCCATGTCCCACGATGGGCACAACAACATATGGTTCACAGACATTATTCCTTGAATTTAAAAATGACGGCCATATATTAACTATAATTAAAGATGAATTTTTACAAGATAAACCAAACCCCAAACCTTTCTCTAACCCTAACCTTTTAAGTTAGAAACAGCGGGAAAAAAGAACAAAAAATGCTAAGTCAGACAAAACATAACCCGACCCAGATTGTGTTTCACTTTCCGCATGCAGCACCTTACCATATAGGTGATGTGCAACCACTTCCATGGGATTCGAAGGACAAAGAGATTCTTGCCATGTTGGATGAAATTTGCATTGCAAACAAGCAAAATCCTTTGTCAATGTCATCCAACATGGCGACGGTAACTTGCACATCACCTATACACTAACAGTAAGCTTGGTAAAAGCTAGTGCAAACAAAAGTTTTATATTTATAACTACTGTAGTTATTATAATCACTATATTTCCAGAAGTTATGCTACATAGCCTGCTGCCGGCTGAATATGCACTTTGTACTATATAACACTAAACATCTAGCAATTTTCAAAATTAGTAAATAATGAATTAGACACGCTGTATTATATTAGTACATCAAAATTGAATTTCAGCTGCGGTTAATAAGAAATCTATGCGTGAGATAAACCACAACAATATAAAATTGAGACCCTGTCAGATATCAAGCCAACACATAGCACTACAAATTCTAAAAAACCCAACAATTTATGCGTTGAAAACACGTTATAAAAACAAGGAAATTAGGAAGATATTTTAGGAGGTTTAAAATTGCAAAGTTTTGCATAATGCAGCTGTCAGATTCATAAATTTGTAAAGCATGATTTGCAAACGGAAATGAAACGTACTCTACAGATTCATCTGCTAAACAAAACGGACATTTGGAACAAAATAACTACAGAAATCATATCTAAAAGAACTATGCTATACTAGAAAATTAATCTAAGTATAAAAGGCTGGTGTCTACGGTCTTTTTTATGCTACAGACGGCTCTTCCAAACAACATTTTATAAACAAAGTTTTTCGATAAAATCTCGGCGTATAAATCAAATTAAACACTTGCTTACCCCAGAGGACTTTCTGCTCGTTTTATTCGTAGGAGAAAACGGCTCCATGGATATAGATTTCCTCAATAAAGGCACGCTTTTTGCACGAGGCGGCAAAGGAGATTTTCGCGACTCATTTTCAGACGCCATGATTATTGTTTAAAATGCACCGCGCATCCATTGGCAACATCGGCACCAACTTCGGGACTTCACGGCGAATCTTCGGTGTTTTTTTTTCAGAGAACCAGCCCGCGCACAGGCATTTACGAGAATACCAGATTGAAGAACTTCATGTATTTATAAGTGTCGAGTTTACCGACCTGAAAACCGAAACAATGACTTGGATTTCATATTTTAAAAATATTCGTTGTCCATTTTGTTCGACGGAAATTTTTCTGGAGAATAAATAGAGAGTGACATGGAACATCCGAGATTTTAATTAGGGGTGGGTTGTTCAAAGGTGGATTAGCGCTAATCCAGGTTTAAAATTAAACCCACTGTTTTAATTTGCATATTTCTGCATGCCATTTATTTCATAAAGTCAGAAAAGAAAACTTCTATCGATCCAGACATGGCTTGTGAAGAAATATTTCCGAATTTCTAAACATGCTGTTAGGAAGTTTCCTTTGAATTTCAAGTAAACCTAGGTGATCTACAGTCCGATCTGCGCATGTGCACAAATTAGCTCACTTTTTATGATACAAACAGTTTAACTATGTTTTGAGTTCTTGAAAAGCCTAATTGTTGTTTCTTGATCATTTATTACACTCTAGAAGCTTGAAAATATAAATAGTTGTCGAATAAAGCTCAATATTTTGGACACAAAAATGTAAACAAAGGCTTTGTTTACATACGGACTGTAGATCACCGTTAAGCTAATCGACTTTTGAACAACCAGCCCAGGGAGTATAAAATAATTGTTGAAAATGATGCAAGTTGATAAGGGAAAATTTCACCCAGTATTTGCATATTTTCATTCTATATCCCCCAAATAACCTCCAGAACAATCACAAAACAAACGCAAAACAACCCCCAAGCAAGCCCAAATCAAACCCAGAACAAACCCAAATCAAACCCAGAAACAACCCCAAGCAAGCCCAAATCAAACCCAAATTAAACCCAGAACAAACCCAAAGCAACCCCTAAATCAACCCCAAATCAAACCTAGAACAAACCCAAAACAAACCCAGAAACAATCCCAAAAACAACCCCCAGAAAAAACCCCAAACAACCCCCCCCCCACTGACAACTGGTACGATAAGTCGGGGGGATGATAGAATTGAGGCCAGTGCATTTTAGTTGTTTCTGAGCCGTGGTACGTTGTGCTGTAGGAAACTGAAGCTATTGAGAAACGCTATTTGGTGTAGAAATTTGAAGACTTTAGCAAAAATGGAAATATTTAAAAACCACAAAAATAATTGCCAATTAGCTATTTTTTGCCGAATGGCAGTTGTTTTCAAAATATTTTTCTTTTCGCCGAAGTCCTGAAATTTCCACACCGAATAGAAATTTTCAATAACTTCAGTTTGATATATAGCCCAACATTTGGGATCAAGTATTTCAGCTCAAAACTCAGAAAAACTATTTCGGCTCCAGCGAATCATAGGCATTATCATAAGAGGTTATCGTTCCAGTTACATAGAGTTCACTGGGTCGTGATGGTATATTCCCCGATACGAAGAGGAGACCCCCAGGCAAATAAACCTCTGCTGGCAACCCCCGCCCTTTTGAACCACGCGTTCACCTTTTAACTACTAAAAATCACAGAACACTTCAACTGACAATATATAAAACAGTGTATTTGATTCTATTTAATGCTCGATGGTATATACATTGCATACAGCACAAAAATAGTAACTAATATATAAATATATATAAAAAAAAATTTTAACACTATAATAGTAGACCTTGGTCGAGTTTCAATGCATTTTCAACACTTTGATAGTTCTCTCTTCAGACGAACTAGCAGATCAACTAAACCCTATAATCTCACATGGAGTAAAGCCAAATTATTTCTACAATAAATATAAATTGGTCCAAAACATTAATGTTTTTCTTCTTCGTATTTTCTCCACTATATTCAGAACATTAACAAAGTTTGGCAAATTTTTGCTGAATGAACACAGACCTCCTACTTATACTTATATAACTTAATGTCAATCATATCCATAGATATCTTTTATACACTAGATAGTCCATCTAATTATTCTGCAATTCAAACATTGAAGCCATGATTGCAGTGTCAGCCCGGCGTTCCCATGAAATGAGAAGATTCCTATGTTTTCTATTTTTTAAACAGGGAACTTAAACATTAACCCTATTCCAAATACATTTTTAAACTATTCGAATGATGAAAGTTACTTATTGTTTTTAAGCGTTTATTACTAAGTGGGAACGACCAACATGGCTGCCATCTATTCAAATGGGGGTAACCGCTGGAATATTCTTGGCTTCAATTTTACTAAAAGAGATGCGCTATCTAGTGTACATAAGATATCTATGATCATATCATATGTTCCGATGTGACCGTAATTCTCCAATCAGAAAGCTCCGAAAATTATAAGGCATTTCAGAAGGCGTTTACTAGAGAGCTTAAGATATAGGACGGCAACGCGACGTTGACGGCTAGTGATATAATGAAATTGATAATATTTAAGAAGAGAAATGGATGGTATATACAATAACCTTTCTTTACAAACATTTATTTGAATTTACTATTTGTTTTGGCCGGCGTCGTCGCTTTGTAAATTGCCATCCCACATCTTAAGGAATAAACGCTTGTTCGCAGGCTCTCAATATTGCACGTCATTTCGTTTTTCACTTCATTTTGAATTTTCAATTTCATTTAACTTCAATATTTTTCTATGTTTTTCAAATGTTCGGAACCACTTAAGCAATTTTAGCTATTTGGTCTGCATATCTTGTAAAAGTTTTATCCTTTAACGCTTTTATTTGTTTTTAAAAACTGAAAATTCGCGTCTTGTGCCCTATAGTACAAGGTAAGACAGATTTTTCTTATTTATAGTTTGAATGGATTGCCACTCACAAAATTATTTGGTCCTCGAAATAGTTCTCTTGGTTTCTTTTTGAAAATTTTCTCATATCAAATGGAAATCCAATTTTGTTGATCAAGTCCATTACTTCTGCAATCTCTAATCTTGACTTGTGTAACATGTACGGTTTACATGAAGAAAACGCGAGAGTATATCAGTGAGGCTGCTGAGTCGCAATGCAACTGATTTGGTTGAGAAGTATATAAAGAATTAATGGGAAGTCATTAGTCACGAGTTTTTGCAGAATGCAGTTTAAAAATTCAAGTTTCGAAATGTGTGGTTTATAGACCTTCCGCTGATGCCTTATTCAAAGTATATACTCGTCGTTTCGTGAAGTTCACAAGACAAAGAGATGTTAGATAATTTTTTTTGAGAGATTTTTTAAATATTCGTATCGTTGAACGAGTGGTCTGGATGAGAAATTTGAAGCGGGAAAATATTTGGCCCTGTATCTTAAGGACACCAGTGACAACAGAGTCACAACCATATCGTTCGCTTGATAAGTCTAGAAGATTTTTACGGCGAAAGCCGGCTTCCTTTCGTAACAGTTTCGTTGCCAAGTTCTCCAATGCAACTTCTCAGACTGATCCAACTTCTCGCGTTACTAATGCAACCCAACACTCAATGATATAGAGGAAGTCGAGTCATAATAAATACTAAATCTTTCAGGATTTATGTTCAAAATATAACACACAAGTTGTAATTTTCCAAGCGCACTCCACCACCCCTCCGTAAGTATAATTTCAATTTAGCACCTAGAATCTGGGAAACACGTGACCAGCTCCGACCAGGGTCTTTCCTCCTCACGAGCCTGAGAATGAGGTTGTCATTTTTCTTGTCATGATTTGCGTTGCAGTACCGCTCACGTCTATCTTAATACAATTTATCATATATTTTCATCTATCCAATCTATCGTATATTTTCATCTATATTGTCAACTCTCTCATCTCGCAGATATAAACATCGTTGTATCTTTATCTACAAATGCACTAATGGACCGATAGATTTCGACTTCAATCTGACAACTAACAGTAGAATCCATTGCCAGAGCACAAGATCGTGTAACAACCTCCATCTCCCGAAAGTCAACACGAACTGGGGTAAACATAAACCAACCCACTTCGCTTCGAAGGACTTTAACAACTTGGACGTTTCCGTCAGAAACACTGACTCTGAGTCAATTTAAGTCACTGCTAAGGTCACATATCATATAACTATTCTTAGGTGTACTTACTATATATACTTAATTATTCGTTGCTTTATGTCGTGACGTTGTATATTGTTAATTGTTATATATATATATATATATATATAAGTAAATTTTGTTAATGATTGTATCATGCAGGACCCCACTGAAAACACACTAGTGATGTGGGTATCCTGGATAAATATAATTATAAATAAAAAATTAAAAAATATCCTCTAAACGTGTCCGCGTCCAACGTCTCTGGTCTGTCATACCTCATCTCCGTCTTTCGTATTAGGCATTCATAATCAGATTCTCTGAATCTGTTCGTACATCTACATATATCTATCTGTATTATATATGGATTATATTTTTGGAGCCGCACTATTCAAGAAACAATTAATGATTATGAACAGATGAAGGGTGAATGAACTGGAAGTAGATAATGTGGTAACTGTTTCTTTGTAAACAGGTGGGTTCAATGACCAAATTCAAACACCACCTGAAAACCCTAGTTTGGGTTATTTTTGGCCACAACCCCCCCCCCCTGAACAACCCCCTCCCATCCAGCAAACCTACCTGTTCACCGAACACCTCCCACCAATAATTCTAATAATAGCTATGGTCCTATCAAAAACAGAAACAGTCCTACAAGAAATCGACCATATTAAGGTAGGAAAAAAGTACTTGTGGGTTGATATTTTTTAAGTTGGCCGCAACCCCCCGGGCCGAGCAAAGCCTTTTCACAGAAGAACAACCCCCTCCCACCGAGCAACTCCCTCCCCCTTAGCAACCCCCTCCGGCCGAGCAATCCCCTCCTGTTGAGCAAACCGCTCCCACCAGTATTTTTAATAGCTATGGTCCTATCAGGGGCAGGCACAATCATGCAAGAAATCGACCATATTTAGGTAGGTAAACTACCACGGTTGAGGACATAAACTGTCCTAACCACGGTTGAGGACATAAAGAAGTGTTTTCAGGACTTCTGCCGCGAAAACGGCGAGGGAGAGGCAGGGACAGGCTGTCTGTCAGGACACATCAGTTACATATCTGATGGTTGTGAAAATAATGTACGATTTCTCGAAAACGAAGCAGTGACATACTTCCTTTACGATTTCATGCTGTTCTGTAACAAGTCCTCACTTCCACAGCAAACAAATGCCTTATTCTTTATTGTTGATAGGATACAACCAAATTAACCAAGACCCCCGCCCGTATTTTTACCCACCAGTACACACCCCAAACCCAACCCACCCACCCCACCTACCCTACCCACTCCAACAACCCCATCCACTTTACCCACCCCAACAACCCCACCCACACCACCAACGCCAAATGCCCTACCCACTATACCAGCACCAACCCCACCCACACCACGGTCGATACCAACCCCGACGCGCGTTCAACTACCCTCCCCACCCTCCACCACTCTGTGACCCTACATACAGTAGGGAAAGACGAGAAGGTGGGTAATAACGGAATATTTGGTTTATAAAGAACATGTATGAATGAGCAGATTTAGATGTTTCTACCTTGTAAATTTCATATAAATATAATGTTTGTGATGTTACTTCGAGTGTTATCCACACCGGGCTCTCGAAAACGAAGCAGTGACATACTTCCTTTACGATTTCATGCTGTTCTGTAACAAGTCCTCACTTCCACAGCAAACAAATGCCTTATTCTTTATTGTGGACAGGATACAATCAACACAACCAAGACCCCCACCCGTATTTTTACCCACCAATACCCACCCCAAACCCAACCCACCCACCTCACCTACCCTACCCACCCCAACAACCCCATCCACTTTACCCACCCCAACAACCCCATCCACTTTACCCACCCCAACAACCCCACCCACACCACCAACGCCAAATGCCCTACCCACTATACCAGCACCAAACCCACCCACACCACGGTCGATATCGACCCCCTTGTAACTACCCTCCCCACCCCCCACCACTCCGTGGCGAAAGACGAGAAGGTGGGTAATAACTGAATATTTGGTTTATAAAGAACATGTATGAATGAGCAGATTTAGATGTTTCTACCTTGTAAATTTCATATAAATATAATGTTTGTGATGTTACTTTGAGTGTTATCCACACCGGGCTCTCGAAAACGAAGCAGTGACATACTTCCTTTACGATTTCATGCTGTTCTGTAACAAGTCCTCACTTCCACAGCAAACAAATGCCTTATTCTTTATTGTGGACAGGATACAATCAACACAACCAAGACCCCCACCCGTATTTTTACCCACCAATACCCACCCCAAACCCAACCCACCCACCTCACCTACCCTACCCACCCCAACAACCCCATCCACTTTACCCACCCCAACAACCCCATCCACTTTACCCACCCCAACAACCCCACCCACACCACCAACGCCAAATGCCCTACCCACTATACCAGCACCAAACCCACCCACACCACGGTCGATATCGACCCCCTTGTAACTACCCTCCCCACCCCCCACCACTCCGTGGCGAAAGACGAGAAGGTGGGTAATAACTGAATATTTGGTTTATAAAGAACATGTATGAATGAGCAGATTTAGATGTTTCTACCTTGTAAATTTCATATAAATATAATGTTTGTGATGTTACTTTGAGTGTTATCCACACCGGGCTCTCGAAAACGAAGCAGTGACATACTTCCTTTACGATTTCATGCTGTTCTGTAACAAGTCCTCACTTCCACAGCAAACAAATGCCTTATTCTTTATTGTTGATAGGATACAACCAAATTAACCAAGACCCCCGCCCGTATTTTTACCCACCAGTACACACCCCAAACCCAACCCACCCACCCCACCTACCCTACCCACTCCAACAACCCCATCCACTTTACCCACCCCAACAACCCCACCCACACCACCAACGCCAAATGCCCTACCCACTATACCAGCACCAACCCCACCCACACCACGGTCGATACCAACCCCGACGCGCGTTCAACTACCCTCCCCACCCTCCACCACTCTGTGACCCTACATACAGTAGGGAAAGACGAGAAGGTGGGTAATAACGGAATATTTGGTTTATAAAGAACATGTATGAATGAGCAGATTTAGATGTTTCTACCTTGTAAATTTCATATAAATATAATGTTTGTGATGTTACTTCGAGTGTTATCCACACCGGGCTCTCGAAAACGAAGCAGTGACATACTTCCTTTACGATTTCATGCTGTTCTGTAACAAGTCCTCACTTCCACAGCAAACAAATGCCTTATTCTTTATTGTTGACAGGATACAGACAAAATAACCAAGTCCCCCGCCCGTATGTTTACCCACCAAACCCAACCCACCCACCCCACCTACCCTACCCACCCCAACAACCCCACCCACTTTACCACCCACTTTACCCACCCCAACAACCCCACCCACACCACCAACGCCAAATGCCCTACCCTCCTCACCCCCCACCACTCCGTGACCCTACTACATATGGTAGGGAAAGACGAGAAGGTGGGTAATAACGGAATATTTGGTTTATAAAGAACATGTATGAATGAGCAGATTTAGATGTTTCTACCTTGTAAATTTCATATAAATATAATGTTTGTGATGTTACTTTGAGTGTTATCCACACCGGGCAAGCTTGAAAATATGCTTGGCCACGATGGGAATCGAACATACGACCTTTGGAATGCTAGCCCAATGCACTGCTTACTGAGCTACGCGGTCAGGTTGTTTCGGGTATGTGATATTTTGGATATTTATTTCCCACACAACTGAAATAATATAGATGGTGTCAGGTGGATATAAATTGAATGGCAACAAAGACAAAAAAATTAAACTATATAATAAAGCGGGAATGAAACCAATGCTAACGCATTCGCCATTGACGCATGCTAGGTATTAAATAAAAAATTTATGATGTATCTGCATATTCTCTAATAGTGCTATACAATAGCGGTTTACAATTACATTTACAGAAAACAAACGACAATTACTGACAGTTCCGCCTACGTAAAAGATTGAAGACTAATTATATATTGTGCACAATTTAAGGTGGTCTATTATGGTCTCACTAAGACAAAGATGGACGAGTTGAGCTTATTTTAGATAATTTAACATTCAATTTTAATTCCCTTTTGGGATTTGTTTATTGTTTGTTTTCCATGCACTCCCCAACGATGGAAGAATGTGATTTTGACCGGCAATTTTTATTTGGCGAGTATATGGCCACATCGTTACGATTTTAAAAAGAGTATCATCGAAAAGCTAAATAACTGTTCTTTCATTCTATGTAAAAATTGAATTGTTTAGCCACGTTTATGATGCACGACAGCCTGTTGAATTCCCAAACGGACACTTTAATTATGATTTTTTCTGCGGCCTTGAAGAATGTCGAGACAAATTCTATCACGAAGAGAAGCATACTAAGCATCGCAGCAAAGTTCTATGACCCGTTATAGGTCTTATATCTCCAGTCACCCTTCGATTCAAACAAATGTTTCAAGAGTTGTGTAAGAGCAAAGTCGACTGGGATGAACCACTGAATAACGAATTCTGCGAAGAATGGAATAAGATTGTCCAGAAATTGAAAGAAGCCAACAACATGAGTATCCCAAGATGTTATTGTCCAGATTCTTTCAGTGGTGAAATAAAGTCAACTGAGTTGCATTCCTTTGGAGATGCGTCCGAAAGTTCTTACGGTGCGTGTGTCTACGTACGATGTGAACACTCAGAAGGTATTCATTGTGATCTAGTTGCTTCAAAAACAAGAGTGGCCGCAATGTCGAAGCAGACAATTCCTCGGTTGGAATTATTATCAAGTCTTCTAGCATCCCGGTTAACTGAAAGCGTGAAGAAAGCCTTGAATGACGTCAAGAGAATCAATTCAGTCACCTATTGGTCTGATTCAACTGTAGTGCTTAGTTGGATACGAAATTCTAACAAAGAATTCAAACAATTTGTTGAAAACCGATTATTAGAGATAATAACACTGGCACCCCCCGAATTATGGAAGTATGTACCTACCAAACAAAACCCAGCAGACATTGCATCCCGAGGAACAACAGCAACCCAGCTTGTAGAAAACAAATTGTGGTGGAATGGTCCTGAATTTTTAATAAAGTCTAATGAACATTGGCCATCCCAACCTTCCAATTCCCAAGAGGACGATTCCGAGTTAAAATCTCCGCGAGTAAGCGTTAATACATCAATCGTTAATGTCGCACAAATTCCAAATATCGTGGAATTGATGAATACCTCAGAATACAGCACTATTGGAAGATTACTTCGAGTTACAGCGTATGTCCTACGTTTTATTAACAATCTCAAGAAACGCGTAGAGAGTCTTGATACCACGGTTGGACAGATTACCTGTGAGGAAATAGACAGCGCAGAACTGAAATGGATTAAAGACATTCAGCATCCAATGTCCAAACAAGCAAATTATCGGAAAGTAAAGGAGTCCTTAAACTTGTTCGAAGATAAAGAGAACATTATACGATGCCATGGACGAATACAAGAATCACCCTTACCCCATGATACGAAATTCCCTATCCTTTTACCAAGTGACCACTATTTTACAAAATTAGTTGTTCTTCGAAGTCACGAACAAGTCATGCACAATGGAGTTCGAGAAACCCTAACGCAAGTTCGATCCAAGTATTGGATAACAAAGGGTCGCCAAGTCGTGAAAAAGATCCTTTCGAAATGTACCATTTGTCGAAGATTAGAAGGCCCACCTTACGGGAACCCAGAAGCGCCACCCTTACCCGAGTTCCGTTTGAGCAACGATTTTGCCTTTTCCAAGATCGGCGTCGATTACGCAGGTCCAATGTACGTGAAGGACATATACAGTCAATCGAAAGATATGCACAAGGTTTACATATCCTTGTACACCTGTTCAAGCAGTAGAGCCTTACATTTGGATTTAGTTCCAGATATGTCAAGCGAAGCATTCGTTAGAAGTTTAGAGCGATTTATCGGAAGACGTGGAATCCCCGCACTGATCATTTCAGACAATGGAAAAACATTTAAAGGTCAAGAAATTAGAGCTTTTATCGCCTCCAAGAACATTAAATGGCGATATATTGTGGAAAAATCCCTTTTATGAAAGAATGGTACGAAGGGTCAAGAGATGTCTGAAGAAAGTCTTGCGCAATGCTAGACTTACTTACGAAGAACTTCTGACATTATTGATTCGAGTAGAAGGAGTTTTGAACTCTAGACCACTAACTTATGTATATCCAGATCGAGATGAACCATTAACACCGTCACATTTAGTGTTAGGTAAACGAATACTTACGGTTCCAGCGCAAGGAGAGTTCGACGTAGAAGACGAAGGAAGAAACGAACTGTTGAAGAGAGACAAGTATCTTAAGAATGTTCTTGAACATTTTTGGAAAAGATGGAAATCGGACTATTTAACGCAGTTGCGCGAACATCATCAACCAAGAAAGAAAGACGGCCCAGAAGTTAAAGTCGGAGATGTCGTTCTGACACAGGAAGACAACGTTAAAAGATTAAATTGGCCCATCGCGGTGATAGAAAGTTTACTTAAGGGGAGAGACGGAAACGTTCGAGCTGCAACAGTAAGAATGTTCAATAAAGCCGGAAAACTCGCGACAACTAGAAGAGCGGTACAGAGACTATATCCAGTTGAAGTGAAAGACAGCAAACTTGAACATGAAGATACAAATGAGTTTCCAATCACCTTTGTTGAAAGAGCAAATGCAGAAAACATGGACTGAAACTGTATGTACTGAAATAATTTTATTGGTTTTGTTTAGTTAATTGACAGATATATTTCTGATCTGTCAAGGTGGGGAGTATGTATGATTATCGTGGAACGAGACAGTCTCGCGCGATTCACGCGTGACGTGAAACACATGTTTTGAGAGTGTAGAGTTTCGATTTGAGAACAGAACTTGAAAATATTGAGCACAACGTTTATTTATGTAAATTTCTTTATTATTATTATTATTCCTCAACTTTTTATACGAGTGAAGATCTTAATTTACAACACTATACATAGCTACAACAAAACCCAGTCTAATGGAGTTTCATTTTTGTTGTTTTAGATACTGGGCTACCAGTTGCAATTTCAATTTCAATTGGAGGGCAAGGTTCGTAAATAACTTTTAAGATTCTTTTCTTTATGATATACATTTCTCAAATTCATTAATAATTATCCAGCGTGGCCAGCTTTATATTCTGTATGTTTCACTTTATGGTGACAAAATAGTTTTACATGTTCAGTTGTGAATTTATTTTCTCGCAGAATAGTTGCCTGACACGGACATATATACTATTTAATTTACATATACGGATTTAGATTTGAATATCCTGCGTGTGTAATATTACTTTTATTTTGAAAATAAATATTTTATTCAATAAAACATTTCAAAATTTGTCCACATGGGTTGGGGGATTGGACAAGATTAGTCAGGTCAACCCGCCTCAGGGGGTCGGGCAATAGTTAAGTATTGATATATTAAAAATCTATGTCTCCACATTTCCCCGAGGTTCGGGGGGGGGGAGGGGGGGTTACAATTGACAAGGGGACAAATATATATGTTATAAGTTCTTTGTATGATTGCATGGCGATAAAATATATAACACTTTTTGTTTGTGGAAACACCACGTAAATTTACTACTGCAAAGCTTTCAATCCGTAAGCCGGAAACATAGAAACGGCGCAAAAAGTTTGCGAAAGGAGAGAGTTTTTGGTCCGAACCAAACAGGTACACGCTGTAAAACGAATCGAGATTTTGAAGAAACAAGGTTCGCAAGTTAATGGCTCTGCCATTTCTCCAGCAACTCAAATTGCCCCAATGTTCAACCAACTGGAAAAACAGGACACAACCACCAGACTTCAAAGTTTTGTCCAGTATATTTCCAAAAGATGGATTAAAGGATGAACTTGGCCACCATCCAGCTGGAGTGTTTTTAAAGAAGAAATCCGCACCAATAATCACATCGAAGGGTGGCATAATGCGAAGAAAACGTCGTGCTGCTGGGAAAAGAAACCTGCAATTCTACCTGATGATCATCTTACTGCACAAAGAAGCAAGACTGACATCTCCACAGATCAGGTTGGTGTCACAGGACATATCACGAACGAAAGACGTTAGGAAAAGTTATAATAAATTTTCCAAGGCTCTTACGGACAGGTGCAAAGGGGGTCAGCTTTGCTATAATATAGAGGGAACTTAGTGGTAGAATGAGAAAGGATGAAGCATAGCGCGCATACCTCTTAATGAAAATGAAAATAAAGAACAAAATTAAAAATGAAAAGAACGTTTAGCAAGCAGACAGGAGCGCTGAATTTTTACACTAAAAATCCAAGAAGTTGTTTTTACGAGAGGACAGAAGCTACTCAGCCATTCAATTTTATACCATATACCCTATTACACGATAGATATTATCATGTAATTTTACATATATTAAATATTATTATACTATTATTATATTATACTGTAGCGTATACCTTTTCATATTACAGCTTACGTGCATGAGTAAGTGTTTTCAGGACTTCTGCCGCGAAAACGGCGAGGGAGAGGCAGGGGCAGGCACAATCATGCAAGAAATCGACCATATTTAGGTAGGTAAACTACCACGGTTGAGGCTGCATTTGCAGACCACCAACGAAACACTGAAAGAATATTTTACCCAATGGGGACGAAAGACGTGATATTGAAAGACGTGATAATGAAGGTTTAACGTTCTGCTGAGCATGACAAAGCCGTTGAGAATACCCCTCAAACCACGACAAATTTATTCACAGTTTTTGTCTTGCATGACAGATTTCTTTCCTTCGCAAGCGCGTCGTTGAGCCGGCCGCGTCGTAGATGTTAAATTAGAGAGGTTAATGCTCTAAGAACCAAGAACCTGATTGGCTGTTCAAAATTAGAATTGTAAACATGCAAAACTATGTAGGTGCGGTCGTAGACGTTTGTGCGAGTGGCCGATATACGAATTCAGTTCGGTGACTTTGCAATTCAGTTCGGTTGTTGTCTACCTATACTGTGGTGCGGTTCAACAACAATATCTATATATGGAAACGTTCGAGCTGCAACAGAAAGAATGTTCAATAAAGCCGGAAAACTCGCGACAACTAGAAGAGCGGTACAGAGACTATATCCAGTTGAAGTGAAAGACAGCAAACTTGAACATGAAGATACAAATGAGTTTCCAATCACCTTTGTTGAAAGAGCAAATGCAGAAAACATGGACTGAAACTGTATGTACTGAAATAATTTTATTGGTTTTGTTTAGTTAATTGACAGATATATTTCTGATCTGTCAAGGTGGGGAGTATGTATGATTATCGTGGAACGAGACAGTCTCGTGCGATTCACGCGTGACGTGAAACACATGTTTTGAGAGTGTAGAGTTTCGATTTGAGAACAGAACTTGAAAATATTGAGCACAACGTTTATTTATGTAAATTTCTTTATTATTATTATTATTACTCAACTTTTTATACGAGTGAAGATCTTAATTTACAACACTATACATAGCTAAAACCCAGTCTAATGGAGTTTCATTTTTGTTGTTTTAGATACTGGGCTACCAGTTGCAATTTCAATTTCAATTGGAGGGCAAGGTTCGTAAATAACTTTTAAGATTCTTTTCTTTATGATATACATTTCTCAAATTCATTAATAATTATCCAGCGTGGCCAGCTTTATATTCTGTATGTTTCACTTTATGGTGACAAAATAGTTTTACATGTTCAGTTGTGAATTTATTTTCTCGCAGAATAGTTGCCTGACACGGACATATATACTATTTAATTTACATATACGGATTTAGATTTGAATATCCTGCGTGTGTAATATTACTTTTATTTTGAAAATAAATATTTTATTCAATAAAACATTTCAAAATTTGTCCACATGGGTTGGGGGATTGGACAAGATTAGTCAGGTCAACCCGCCTCAGGGGGTCGGGCAATAGTTAAGTATTGATATATTAAAAATCTATGTCTCCACATTTCCCCGAGGTTCGGGGGGGGGGAGGGGGGGTTACAATTGACAAGGGGACAAATATATATGTTATAAGTTCTTTGTATGATTGCATGGCGATAAAATATATAACACTTTTTGTTTGTGGAAACACCACGTAAATTTACTACTGCAAAGCTTTCAATCCGTAAGCCGGAAACATAGAAACGGCGCAAAAAGTTTGCGAAAGGAGAGAGTTTTTGGTCCGAACCAAACAGGTACACGCTGTAAAACGAATCGAGATTTTGAAGAAACAAGGTTCGCAAGTTAATGGCTCTGCCATTTCTCCAGCAACTCAAATTGCCCCAATGTTCAACCAACTGGAAAAACAGGACACAACCACCAGACTTCAAAGTTTTGTCCAGTATATTTCCAAAAGATGGATTAAAGGATGAACTTGGCCACCATCCAGCTGGAGTGTTTTTAAAGAAGAAATCCGCACCAATAATCACATCGAAGGGTGGCATAATGCAAAGAAACGTCGTGCTGCTGGGAAAAGAAACCTGCAATTCTACCTGATGATCATCTTACTGCACAAAGAAGCAAGACGGACATCTCCACAGATCAGGTTGGTGTCACAGGACATATCACGAACGAAAGACGTTAGGAAAAGTTATAATAAATTTTCCAAGGCTCTTACGGACAGGTGCAAAGGGGGTCAGCTTTGCTATAATATAGAGGGAACTTAGTGGTAGAATGAGAAAGGATGGTGAAGCATAGCGCGCATACCTCTTAATGAAAATGAAAATAAAGAACAAAATTAAAAATGAAAAGAAAAAAACGTTTAGCAAGCAGACAGGAGCGCTGAATTTTTACACTAAAAATCCAAGAAGTTGTTTTTACGAGAGGACAGAAGCTACTCAGCCATTCAATTTTATACCATATACCCTATTACACGATAGACATTATCATGTAATTTTACATACATTAAATATTATTATTATTATACTATTATTATATTATACTGTAGCTTATACCTTTTCATATTATAGCTTATACCTTTTCATATTATAGCTTATGTGCACGAGTAAGCACATAGTTCTAAAGATTAAAGAAAACGCCTTGTCCACAAATAACGTCAACGGACATGAATGTGGTCAGAGAACTTTCTACCAACGACCACAACATTGCGTATAGGAAATACTTCAAGATGGCAAAATCATCCTCTGACTAACTCTATAAAAGTAGCTTCACGCATCAGTGAACATTATCATTAGCATAGCCATTAGGATTACGATTAGCTATGAGCAAGAAGAAGAAGTTAGGAAAAGTTATAAGTTTTCCAAGGCCCATTTGTACCTCGTTCTACCTCTTGCGAGAAAGTAATGGCTGAACAAGAAAGGAAACTTTTCGTCAGTGGCCTTAAGTTGAAGACAACTGAAAAAGTGATAAAAGATTACTTCGCGCAATGGGGAGAGATTATTGATATTGCGTTGGTTACATATTCAAATTTAGAATCAGCTCAAAGAGCTTTAGCCATAGATATCTTAAATACACCAGATCACTAGTGCATCTAATTATTCTGCAATTCAAAAATTGAAGCCGTGATTGCAGTCTCAGGTCGTTCCCATGAAATGAGAAGATTCGTATGTTTTCTATTTCATAAACAGGGAATTTAAACATTAAGTTGACCCTATTCCAAATAGATTTCTAAACTATTGTTCCCAGTAGAACTGCGAAACGACCGGGTTTTTAAGCGGTTTTTCAGACAGTTTTGTCAATTACGAGCTAGGGAGGAACAGTATATGTATGTATTCTGTATTCCATTAATTATAATGCATTAATTACTCTGCATTAGACTGAATAAGGCATTCGCGGAACGGAAAGCCTACAGACCACATATTTCGAATATGAATTTTTAGAATGCTGCAAACTCACGACTAATAAATTCCAATTTCCCATTACTACATATATACTTTTCAACCAAATCACAGTTACAGTACGACTCAGCAGCGTCACTGATACACTCGCGTGTTTTTGTCATGTCAACCGTACATATTACACAAGTCAAGAAATTGTAGTAGTAATGGACTCGATCAACTAAATTGGATTTCCAACTTACAAGAAAACGTTCGTTGTCCAAATTTTTTCGCTCAATTTCTTTTGAATTGTGAGCGGTGAAGTACAACCGATTAATTCGGATGGTCAGAAACCAAAAGAAATCAAGCAAAGTATTTCGAGGACCACATAATTCTCTGCGAGTGGAAATCCACGCTAACTATAAATAAGAAAAGTCTGCCTTACCTTGCACTATATCAGGCACGACCTTTCGAAGTAGTTTTCTTGCGAGAACAACGGGATTATTGAGTAATCATTGAAGAATAAAGAAAATTGATCTTGAATATTCATTTTCGAACTTTCTTCCGCAGTGAAGAACTTACGCGTCACATCGAACGGTCCTATTTTTATATCTTTATGTGCCCTGTCTGCATCAGCTTTTGCCTCGTCGTATGACATTGATTTCCTCTTTGAAGTCCACATTGAGAGATCATGCAGTACTTGAATAATTACAAATATAAATTAATTAAAGTTATCCAGTATATAAAGTTAGACTTGTTTAGGTTTCCTTCTGTAGTAACACTGCATAGATCAATAAGAGATGATCCTTACTGGACCTGTAGGGGGACAGTTTAGAACTGATAGAGTAATACAGTATAAATAAAATTAGTTTAGTTTAGCTTATTACCTGTCTAACGTCTTGATTGGCGCCGACAACTATTTTCTCCATTGCTTGCTGTGAGAATGTTAAACGTTCCTTGCATGCGATACTCATCATGGATCCCTACAAAACAATTCCAATTCAAAATCTCAATTTTTTGGCACAGGTGCCATGGTCATTTTGCTTTTTAATGAACTGATAGAGCTATCCTCCTGTAGTTACACTGGAACTGCCGGGGAGTATTCAATGCCTATCGAGTTAATTCACTAAATGCAGTATAAATACTCACCTTGCTTTCTCAACATATCAATTCTTTTGAGTGCCGGTTCCACGCGTACACTTTCTGTTTTGATATTAAACTCCCTTTTTTCGCAAACTTTTTTTCCTTGGTCACAAATGTTACAAATCCGTATCATGAGCGTGGTGTCGTTTTCATGGAAGTCATGTCCGTCACTTCACCCCCGCCGTTTTCGTCGCAGAAGTCCTGGAAGCATTTCTTGATATCATCGACCGTGGTTAGCGTTGCTAACCCACGGATAAATACTTTTGTGTCGACCGATTCCTTTGGCGGGTTTAACATCCACGGGTTTTCCATCTTTCTCTGTTAAAAGAAACACATTATTGCAGTTTTTATAGATTAAGCTGTAATGTGCCCAAATTAATGCACACAAGACTGAGTTGCCTCACCAAAGGCAAAAGCAACTATATATAAACACTTGAATGGGCAAGCAACAATGATACCAAATTCCCTCACCAAAAGCAACTATACGCTTCAACGTGCAAGTAACAATAAGACTGATTGCCTCACCAAAAGCAACTATATACACGTTTGAACGTGCAAGGAACAAAAATACTGCATGAGCTGCCTCACCCAAAGCAACTATAGACGCATTGCACATGACGTCACAGCGCCGGTGACGATGCATCTGGAGGACAAATTAGCAATCTATGCATAATATAATTTTTGTAAACAAAGCAAATTTTGTAAAACTTTATAATAATTTTGTATTAAAATGGTTAATTTTTGCGCTGTATGTGGTTTTTGTGCCCGAACATGCAGATATTGTTAGGGAGCATCTGGAGGACACTCTAAGGATTTGTGACGTCAGTGCAATGGGTCTAACGCTTCAACGTAAATAACAATAATACTGATTTGCCTCACCAAAAGCAACCATATACGCTCCAGTTATACGCGGCAACACTAAAGGCCCATGCATACATGCAGAACGAACGCAATTCCGGAGAACGCGACGTGAATTTTCAGTTTTTAAAAACAAATAAAATATGCAGACCAAATAGCTAAAATAGCTTACAGGTAAACTACGTGAAGCGTTCCTCTTTTGAGTTTCTAAATTGATTGCAATTTTCTTCATTACTTTTGCAATTTAAAAAACTCCCTTGCAAATCCCGAATTTTCCTCAGTTCCTGTTAGAAGTTCTTAACTTCCTGTTGCAAGTTCCTAACTTCCTGTTCTGTTCTGGGAGTTGCAATTGGCTAACAAAAATAATGACCAATAACGCTCAGAACAGAACAGGAAGTTAGGAAATTAAAACAGGAAGTTAGGGAAATTTAAAATGAAGTTTGGAATATAGCCCGCGTGCAGGCCCAAGGGAGCAGGCTCAAGGGAACTTGACCCTTGGGCCTGCACGCGGGCTATTTGGAATATTGCAACAGCCGATAAGGAACATTGCAAATTCCCTCGAGGGATTTGCAAAGAGTTTTTCAAATTTGCAAAGCTAATGAGGAAAATTCCAAATGAGTTACGAAGTCAAAAGAGGAACGCTTCACGTAGTTTACCTGTAAGTGGTTCCGAATATTTGAAAAACAGCGAAAAATATTAAAGTTAAATGTTATTGAAAATTGAAAATTCTGTATGGGCCTTAGCTTATCACCTTAACACGGATTGCCTAAGCAAAAGCAACTATATACGTTGCAACGCGGGAAAAGAAAGACTGAGTTGCCTCACCAAAGCAACCATATACGCTTCAACGCAAGTAACAACTGAATATACCAAGTTGCCTCACCAATAGCAACGTCACATAACGTGCAAGTAACAATGGTACCAATTCGCCTCGGTATTTAGCAGATAAGTCACTGGATAAAAATCCAGGTGCAAAGCCTATATTTATAACGATATAGATGTGCAGAGGCAGAAAGGAATAAAAATGCACTAATATCTACGAGTCTATCACTTAATTATGGCTAAAATAAAAACAAAGTATCGCGCGACATGTAAAACTGCCTACAAATTACAAAATAAAAGTCTGTAAACTCAGGAAAAATACGCCGCCCGTACGAAAATTAAGGCTATGTCTTAATTGTAAAAAGCGTTCAAATTAAGACATTGCCTTAATTTTAAACATAACCCCCACCCCAACCCTCTAACCCCCCTAACCGCTAATCCTAATCTAATCTTAGGCAAACCCTAATCCAATCCAAATCTGGCGACCTTTTTTTTCTTTTTTCATACGTATATAAACGTAGCAGAAAAAACGCACGTAAAATTCATTTTTAAAATTTCAGTTCGTTTAGAATTAAGTTAAGGTAAAATTCACTTCGCAATATAAATACAAAATCAAAATATGGCCGTCATTGCAATTTTCACGTGATCTCAATCAACTTTCTGATAGGGTGAGATACTGAGAGATTGCGTAAATGTTTAAGCGGGTAAAAAGGGTTCAACTCGTCCGTTTCCGCGTGCGTTACGCAAAAAAAAACCGGATGAAAAACGCAGCACTGGAAATCAGCCTTTACTCGGCTAGACAATGATAGACTGTAGGCACAGAATAAAGATCAGTAACAGAAGGGCCACTCAGCGGTGCAACGTGTCCGCGTTTTTTTATGCAAAAATATACAGTTTACTGGCCAGAAGGAGCAGCCAGCCAGTACAGCGTGTTTATTGGCCAGAAAATGTCATTGACTGGCTAGGAAAATGGCGGCCAACATGCGTAATGCGACATGCGCGAGGACAAAAACTTCAAAGCTTCCGACGTAAGTGGCCCTTCTATATGGATCTTTATTCTATGTTGTAGGTGTATATGGTGCATTTCAACTTGGGTATACATATACCGTGAAAAACGTCGCTCCGCTTAAATATACAAGCGAACTGAGTAAAATACAAACCTATATGCATGTTAGTAGGGTTCCAAGTCTCCAACCATTAATTGAAACTTCGAGAGAATACGCCGTTTCTCCACTGTCACTGAGAGTACGTTATAGGCTGCGTTGAACAATCTGTGTACAAGGATAATATGAACGCAGTCAACCACGTCGGAGGTGTATTTTCGAGCTCCGCAGTTTTTATATATTTAAGTGAGCCTGACGCTGGTATTTCACTATGGATCATAATAACTATAAGCACTTCAGTATAGACGACTCTAAACTTAAGTGGAACGGTGACCTTGAACCGCTTAAGTGTTTTATCGCGAACGAATTAAACCAATCTGGAAAATGGTCTTCCCCTGGCGGCGAGGTGAAGCTGTTTACGAACGAGAATGAAGTTTCCAGTGAGGGTGAAATTGTCAAAATTAAATGGTACCAGAGTAAGAAAACCTTGTTGTTTGAAGGATCTAGAGCTAAGCAGATGGAACAGGATATCTACAGTATAAAACAATCAAACTCAAGCTTCAAGGAGGGAGAAACGTGCAACAGGTTTGATACTTCAAATTCAAATTTGCATAATAACGATAAATTTGTTGAAGCGATTAATGACTTCAAGCTTCAAATTCAACAGCTTAAGGGTGTTATGGAACAAAACTGCCATAGCTAACCTTGAAACCGTATGTCAATCCTCATCGAATGATACTGCATATATTGAACTACACACACTTAGAAAAGAATACGAACTTATTTGCTCTGAAAATGCAATTCTTAAGAAAGAAAACGCCGAATACCTTGAACGCATGAACAACTTAGTCTAAATTACCTCTGATTTAAATACAAAAATTAAAATACTTGAAGAGGAGAAGGCTAGCTTAGTAACCTCAGTGCGTCTCGTAAATGAGGACAAACGGCAATTAATAATTGAAGCTAAGCGCTTAGGAAATGTTTACGAACCGGAACCGTCCTCTGAAGTCTCAAACCAAACAACGCATTGCGAAAGCACACAAAATGAAAACCCCATGCAAAATGAGCAACATGATAAAATAATTGAATTGGTCGAATTGGATAAAACATTCCAAGAACCGAATGGCCCGAATACAAGAAATGAAAATATGAACCCCGTTGTAGGAGTGGCTGTGTCTGGCCATCCCGACAGAACTAGTACAGATAAACAGCCTAATTCCGAATGTGCGTCTCAAAATCCTAAGAGTGTTGTCCCATGTCCATTCCTTCTCCGCCGT